ATCTTTAAAGTGCAGCAGGTAGCCTAGCGGTTAAGAGCATTGGGACAGTTTTATTTTTTTTTTTTTATTTCACCTTTATTTAACCAGGTAAGCCAGTTGAGAACAGGTTCTCATTTACAACTGCGACCTGGCCAAGATAAAGCAAAGTAGTGCAATAAAAACAACACAGAGTTACATATGGGGTAAAAAAAACATAAAGTCAGAAATACAACAGAAAATATATATACAGTGTGTGCAAATGTAGCAAGTTATGGAGGTAAGGCAATAAATAGGCTATAGTGCAGAATAATTACAATAGTATTAACACTGGAATGCTAGATGTGCAAGAGATGATGTGCAAATAGAGATACTGGGGTGCAAAAGAGCAAAATAAATAACAATATAGGGATGAGGTAGTTGGGTGGGCTAATTTCAGATGGGCTGTGTACAGGTGCAGTGATCGGTAAGGTGCTCTGACAACTGATGCTTAAAGTTATTGAGGGAGATAAGAGTCTCCAGCTTCAGAGATTTTTGCAATTCGTTCCAGTCATTGGCAGCAGAGAACTGGAAGGAATGGCGGCCAAAGGAGGTGTTGGCTTTGGGAATGACCAGTGAGATATACCTGCTGGAGCGCAGACTACGGGTGGGTGCTGCTATGGTGACCAATGAGCTAAGATAAGGCGGGGATTTGCCTAGCAGTGATTTATAGATGGCCTGGAGCCAGTGGGTTTGACGACGAACATGTAGTGAGGACCAGCCAACAAGAGCGTACAGGTCACAGTGGTGGGTAGTGTATGGGGCTTTGGAGACAAAACGGATGGCACTGTGATAGACTACATCCAATTTGCTGAGTAGAGTGTTGGAGGCTATTTTGTAAATGACATCGCCGAAGTCAAGGATCGGTAGGATAGTCAGTTTTACGAGGGCATGTTTGGCAGCATGAGTGAAGGAGGCTTTGTTGCGAAATAGGAAGCCGATTCTAGATTTAACTTTGGATTGGAGATTCTTTATGTGAGTCTGGAAGTTGAGTTTACAGTCTAACCAGACACCTAGATATTTGTAGTTGTCCACATACTCTAGGTCAGACCCGTCGAGAGTGGTGATTCTAGTCGGGTGGGCGGGTGCTAGCAGCGTTCGATTGAAAAGCATGCATTTAGTTTTACTAGTGTTTAAGAGCAGTTGAAGGCTACTGAAGGATTGTTGTATGGCATTGAAGCTCGTTTGGAGGTTTGTTAACACAGTGTCCAATGAAGGGCCAGATGTATACAAAATGGTGTCGTCTGCGTAGAGGTGGATCTGAGAGTCACCAGCAGCAAGAGCGACATCATTGATATACACGGAGAAAAGTGTCGGCCCAAGAATTGAACCCTGTGGCACCCCCATAGAGACTGCCATAGGTCCAGACAACAGGCCCTCCGATTTGACACACTGAACTCTATCTGAGAAGTAGTTGGTGAACCAGGCGAGGCAGTCATTTGAGAAACCAAGGCTATTTAGTCTGCCAATAAGAATGCGGTGGTTGACAGAGTCGAAAGCCTTGGCCAGGTCGATGAAGACGGCTGCACAGTACTGTCTATTATCAATCGTGGTTATAATATCGTTTAGGACCTTGAGCGTGGCTGAAGTGCACCCGTGACCAGCTCGGAAACCGGATTGCATAGCGGAGAAGGTACGGTGGTATTCGAAATGGTCGGTGATCTGTTTGTTAACTTGGCTTTCGAATACTTTCGAAAGGCAGGGCAGGATGGATATAGGTCTGTAGCAGTTTGGATCTAGAGTGTCACCCCCTTTGAAGAGGGGGATGACCGCGGCAGCTTTCCAATCTCTGGGGATCTCAGACGTTATGAAAGAGAGGTTGAACAGACTAGTAATAGGGGTTGCGACAATTTCGGCGGCTAGTTTTAGAAAGAAAGGGTCCAGATTGTCTAGCCCAGCTGATTTGTAGGGGTCCAGATTTTGCAGCGCTTTCAAAACATCAGCTGTCTGAATTTGTGTGAAGGAGAAGCGGGGGGGGCATGGGCAAGTTGCAGCAGAGGGTGCAGAGTTGGTGGCCGGGTTAGTGGTAGCCAGATGGAAAGCATGGCCAGCTGTAGCAAAATGCTTGTTGAAATTCTCGATTATTGTAGATTTATCGGTGGTGATAGTGTTTCCTAGCCTCAGTGCAGTGGGCAGCTGGGAGGAAGTGCTCTTATTCTCCATGGACTTTACAGTGTCCCAAAACTTTTTGGAGTTAGTGCTACAGGATGCAAATTTCTGTTTGAAAAAGTTAGCCTTTGCTTTCCTGACTGCTTGTGTATATTGGTTCCTAACTTCCCTGAAAAGTTGCATATCGCGGGGGCTATTTGATGCTAATGCTGTACGCCACAGGATGTTTTTGTGCTGGTCAAGGGCAGTCAAGTCTGAGGAGAACCAGGGGCTATATCGGTTCTTAGTTCTGTATTTTTTGAATGGGGCATGTTTATTTAAGATTGAGAGGAAATTACTTTTAAGGAACAACCAGGCATCCTCTACTGACGGAATGAGATCTATATCCATCCAGGATACCTGGGCCAGGTCAATTAGGAAGGCCTCCTCGCTAAAGTGTTTTAGGGAGCGTTTGACAGTGATGAGGGGTGGTCGTTTGACCGCAGACCCGTTACGGACGCAGGCAATAAGGCAGTGATCGCTGAGATCCTGGTTGAAGACAGCTGAGGTGTATTTAGAGGGTATGTTAGTCAGGATGATATCTATGAGGGTACCCATGTTTAAGGATTTAGGGTTGTACCTGGTAGGTTCGTTGATAATTTGCGTGAGGTTGAGGGCATCTAGCTTGGATTGTAGGATGGCTGGGGTATTAAGCATATCCCAATTTAGGTCACCAAGCAGTACAAACTCAGAGGATAAATGGGGGGCAATCAATTCACATATGGTGTCCAGGGCACAGCTGGGGGCTGAGGGGGGTCTGTAGCAAGCGGCAACAGTGAGAGACTTATTTCTGGAAAGGTGGATTTTTAGAAGTAGAAGCTCAAACTGTTTGGGCACAGACCTGGATAGTATGATAGAGCTCTGCAGGCTATCTCTACAGTAGATTGCAACTCCACCCCCTTTGGCAGTTCTATCTAGACGGAAAATGTTATAGTTGGGGATGGAAATTTCAGAATTTTTGGTGGCCTTCCTGAGCCAGGATTCAGACACTGCTAGAACATCAGGGTTGGCAGAGTGTGCTAACGCAGTGAATAACTCAAACTTAGGAAGTAGACTTCTGATATTTATGTGCAAGAAACCAAGACTTTTGCGATTACAGAAGTCATCAAATGATAGCTCCTGGGGAGTAGGAGTGATACTGGGGGCTACAGGCCCTGGGTTAGCCTCTACATCACCAGAGGAACAGAGGAGGACTAGAATAAGGATACGGCTAAAGGCTTTAAGAACTGGTCTTCTAGTGCGTTGGGTACATAGAATAAAGGGGGCAGATTTCCGGATGTTATAGAAAAGATTCAGGGCATTATGTACAGACAAGGATATGGAAGGATATGAGTAAAGTGGAGGTAAACCTAAGCGTTGGGTAACAATGAAAGAGATAGTATCTCTAGAGGCATCAATTGAGTCGGTCTCTGAGTGTATGGGCGGAGGGACAAAGGAGCTAACTAAGGCAGGTTTAGCTAGGCTGGGGGGTCTACAGTGATATAGTACAATTAGAAATAACCGAAACAACAATAAACTAACCATGTTTGGGCTGAGGCTAAACATAAACAGGATGTAGTACCGTAAAAAGGAACAGTCCAGCAGATATCAGCTGTATAGCTGAGTTATCATAAGGTCCGGTGGTGAAGCGCTAGTGAGTAAGAGGCCACGGCTAGCGTGTGCTACGTCCGTTTTGTTGTAGCCAGCTGGTAGCGATGAATCCGGAGTTAAAGGTCCAGTGAATTCAGTGATTCCGGCGGAAAAACTGATATGTTCTGGGTCGATAACGCGCTGTGCAGACTGGCCGAAAATCCGGTGATCAATGTCCAGTGATTAAAATTTTATCCCGCGGAAAAAAATCCAATATTCTGGGTGCAACACCGCTAGCTGTGGCTAATAGCAAGTAGCTAGTTCAGTAGCTAGTTCAGTTTAGTGAGTAAGAGGCCACGGATAACGTGTGCTAACGGGCCAGGGCTAGCAGATGGATGGAATCTTCGTGGTTAACGTCGTAACCACATCAGACGATTTCGTCGGCAGACCAGTCGTGTAGGATCGGCGGGGCTCCGTGTCAACACTAGGTGGTCCCGTCCGGTTGATAGAGAGGTAGATAGCCGGGAGATGGGCCTAGCTCGGGATGATTAGCCAGACCACAGCGTCCGTTTTGTTGTTGTTGTAGCCAGCTGGTAGCGATGAATCCGGAGTTAAAGGTCCAGAGAATCAGTGATTCCGGCAGAAAAACTGATATGTTCTGGGTCGATAACGCGCTGTGCAGACTGGCCGAATATCCGGTGATCAATGTCCAGTGATTAAAATTAATCCCGCGGAAAAAATCCAATGATCTGGGTGAAACACCGCTAGCTGTGGCTAATAGCAAGTAGCTAGTTAGCTGGCTAGCTAGTTTCAACTGGAGATTCTAGATTCTAGATAAAAGGTAAGTCAATAATAGAATCCGTTCCACATTGAGTGAGGCGGGTTGCAGGAAAGTATATTTTGTAGAAGGATGAAAAGTCTGATAGGGAAATATGTACGAAAAATACAAAAAAACAGGGTATTTACAGGCTATTTACAGACACACGACAGAAACAGGACTGCACTACTTCGCCATCTTGCTGGTTCGAATCCCCAAGCTGACTAGGTGAAAAATCAGGCAATGTACACTTGAGCAAGGCATTTAACCCCAATTGCTCATGTAAATCGCTCTGGATAAGAGCATCTGCTAAATGACTAAAGTGTTAATGTAAAGTCACACACACACACACATCTTTATCTTTCCTCTCCCTCGTTCCCGCCCACCCCTACCTCACTACCTCCCCAGTGTGGCCAGTCACCACCAGCAGAACCTGATGACTGTGGCCAACCTGGGAGTGGTGTTCGGCCCCACTCTGCTGAGGCCGCAGGAAGAGACTGTGGCTGCCATCATGGACATCAAGTTCCAGAACATCGTGGTGGAGATCCTCATCGAGAATCACGAGAGGGTGAGTCAGTCAGTCAGTCAGTGAGGGGTCTCTGAGAGAGAAGTACTGTTCAACACAACACAGTCCAACACCTTATCTTATCTCTCTTAGTCTCCAAGTCCCACATTGGCCCCTGGTGGAGAGAGGGGCCCGAGGGAGGGAGGCAGGGAGGGAGAGAGGGGTCCGAGGGAGGGACGGAGGGAGGGAGAGAGGGGCCCGAGGGAGGGAGGGAGGGGCCCGAGGGAGGGAGGGAGGGAGGGAGGGAGGGAGAGGGGCCCGAGGAGGGGGGATCGAGGGAGAGGGAGAGAGGGGTCCGAGGGAGGGAGGGAGAGGAGGGGGAGGGGAGGGAGGGAGGGAGGGGAGAGAGGGGGGCCGAGGGAGGGAGGGAGGGAGGGAGAGAGGGGCCAGAGGGAGGAGGGAGGAGGGAGGAGAGGGAGGGGCCAGGAGGGAGGGAGGGAGGGAGGGACGAGGGAGGGAGGGAGGGAGGGAGAGAGGGGGGCCAGAGGGAGGGAGGAGGGGAGGGAGGGAGAGGGGAGGGAAGGAGAGGGGAACCGAGCGAGGGAGGGAGGGAGGGAGGGGGAGGGACGGGAGGGAGGGAGGGAGGAGGGAGGGAGAGAGGGGGGGAGGGAGGGAGGAGGGAGGGAGAGAGGGGCCGAGGGAGGGAGGCCAGGGAGGGAGAGAGGGGTCGAGGGAGGGAGGCAGGGAGGGAGGGAGAGAGGGGCCCGAGGGAGGGAGGGAGGGGAGGGAGGGAGGGAGAGAGGGGCCGATGGGCGGAGCGGGGAGGAGGGAGGAGAGGAGAGAGGGGTCGAGGGAGGGAGGACGGGAGGCGAGGGAGGAGAGAGGGGCCGAGGGAGGGAGGAGGGAGACGAGAGGGTGAGAGAGGGACGGAAGAGGGGGCGAGGGAGCGAGGGAGGGAGGGAGGAGGAGGGGCCCGAGTAGGGAGGGAGGGAGGGCACGAGGGAGGGAGGGGAGGGAGGGAGAGAGGGGTCAGAGGGAGGGACGGAGGGAGGGAGGGAGGGAGGGGCCAGAGGGAGGGAGGGAGGAGGGAGAGAGGGGCCGGGGAGGGACGGAGGGAGGGAGAGAGGGGCCGAGGGAGGAGGAGGGAGGGAGAGAGGGGCCCGAGGGAGGGGAGGGAGGGAGGGGGAGAGGAGGGAGGGAGGGAGGGCAGGGGAGAGAGGGGCGAGAGGGAGGAGAGGGGAGGGAGGGAGGGAGGGAGGGAGGAGGGAGGGGCCGAGGGAGGGGGGAGGGAGGGAGGAGAGGGGCCGAGGCAGGGAGGGAGAGAGGGGTCCGAGGGAGGGACAGGAGGGAGAGAGGGGCCCGAAGGAGGGAGGGAGGGGAGGGAGGAGGGAGAGAGGGGTGGAGGGAGGGGAGGGAGAGGAGGGGCAGGGGAGGGGGAGAGGAGGGGTCCGAGGGAGGGAGGGAGGAGGGAGAGAGGGGTCAGAGGGAGGGAGGAGGGAGGGAGAGAGGGGCCCGATGGAGAGGGAGGAGGGAGAGAGGGGTCGAGGGAGGGAGAGGGGGAGAGAGAGGGGCCGAGGGGGGAGGCAGGGGAGGAGAGAGGGGCCCGAGGGAGGAGGGAGGGAGAGAAAAGTCCTAACTGTAATCCGGTCAGCCAGGGTGGAGGAGTATTTGTCACTAATTGTGTCTGTGAAAACTAACGATCCACTTTTACTTGAGCAGCGATTTGATTCTGGGATTCATCAGCCCCAGAATTTTAATTTAATTATCTGAATGGAATGAGAGCAATGTTGTCAGAGAAATGGAGGCTGCCAGACACAGTGTTGGGAAGATGAGCATCAACAGTGTCATAATGCTGATAACATCTCTGAATAACTGAAAGCATTATGGGAGTGGCATGTGGGGAAGTCTGTGGACACCCCCTCCCGTGCTGAAGAGCTCAGTGACTTACAACGTGGCACCGTCATACACTACATGCAAGCTAACAAACTACACTACATGACCAGAAGTATGTGGACACCTGCTCATCGAACATCTCATTCCAAAATCATGGGCATTAATATGGAGTTGGTCCGCCCTTTGCTGCTATAACAGCCTCCACTCTTTTAGGAAGTCTTTCTACTAGATGTTGGAACATCGCTCCGACAGACGAGTTTTACGTGCTTCAGCACTCTGCGGTCCCGTTCTGTGAGCTTGTGTGGCCTATCTCTTCGTGGCTGAGTCGTTGTTGCTCTTAGACGTTTCTACTTCACAATAACAGCACTTACAGTTGACCGGGGCAGCTCTAGCAGGGCAAAAATTGGACGAACTGACTTGTTGGAAAGGTGGCATCCTATGACGGTGCCACGTTGAAGGCCATTCTACAATGTTTGTTTATGGCGATTGCATGGTTGTATGCTCGATTTTATACACCTGTCAGCAATGGGTGTGGCTGAAATAGCTGAATCCACTAATTTAATGGCGTGTCCACATACTTTTGTATATACAGTGGGGGAAAAAAGTATTTAGTCAGCCACCAATTGTGCAAGTTCTCCCACTTAAAAAGATGAGAGAGGCCTGTAATTTCCATCATAGGTACACGTCAACTATGACAGACAAATTGAGAAAGAAAAATCAAGAAAAAAAACAAATGCATTTAGTTGCAAATTATGGTGGAAAATAAGTATTTGGTCACCTACAAACAAGCAAGATTTCTGGCTCTCACAGACCTGTAACTTCTTCTTTAAGAGGCTCCTCTGTCCTCCACTCGTTACCTATATTAATGGCACCTGTTTGAACTTGTTTTCAGTATAAAAGACACCTGTCCACAACCTCAAACAGTCACACTCCAAACTCCACTATGGCCAAGACCAAAGAGCTGTCAAAGGACACCAGAAACAAAATTGTAGACCTGCACCAGGCTGGGAAGACTGAATCTGCAATAGGTAAGCAGCTTGGTTTGAAGAAATCAACTGTGGGAGCAATTATTAGGAAATGGAAGACATACAAGACCACTGATAATCTCCCTCGATCTGGGGCTCCACGCAAGATCTCACCCCGTGGGGTCAAAATGATCACAAGAACGGTGAGCAAAAATCCCAGAACCACACAGGTCATTCACCTAGTGAATGACCTGCAGAGAGCTGGGACCAAAGTAACAAAGCCTACCATCAGTAACACACTACGCCGCCAGGGACTCAAATCCTGCAGTGCCAGACGTGTCCCCCTGCTTAAGCCAGTACATGTCCAGGCCCGTCTGAAGTTTGCTAGAGTGCATTTGGATGATCCAGAAGAGAATTGGGAGAATGTCATATGGTCAGATGAAACCAAAATATAACTTTTTGGTAAAAACTCAACTCGTCGTGTTTGGAGGACAAAGAATGCTGAGTTGCATCCAAAGAACACCATACCTACTGTGAAGCATGGGGGTGGAAACATCATGCTTTGGGGCTGTTTTTCTGCAAAGGGACCAGGACGACTGATCCGTGTAAAGGAAAAAATGAATGGGGCCATGTATCGTGAGATTTTGAGTGAAAACCTCCTTCCATCAGCAAGGGCATTGAAGATGAAACGTGGCTGGGTCTTTCAGCATGACAATGATCCCAAACACATCGCCCGGGCAACGAAGGAGTGGCTTCGTAAGAAGCATTTCAAGGTCCTGGAGTGGCCTAGCCAGTCTCCAGATCTCAACCCCATAGAAAATCTTTGGAGGGAGTTGAAAGTCTGTGTTGCCCAGCGACAGCCCCAAAACATCACTGCTCTAGAGGAGATCTGCATGGAGGAATGGGCCAAAATACCAGCAACAGTGTGTGAAAACCTTGTGAAGACTTACAGAAAACGTTTGACCTGTGTCATTGCCAACAAAGGGTATATAACAAAGTATTGAGAAACTTTTGTTATTGACCAAATACTTATTTTCCACCATAATTTGCAAATAAATTATAAAAAATCCTACAATGTGATTTTCTGGAAAATATTTTCTCATTTTGTCCGTCATAGTTGACGTGTACCTATGATGAAAATTACAGGCCTCTCTCATCTTTTTAAGTGGGAGAACTTGCACAATTGGTGGCTGACTAAATACTTTTTTCCCCCACTGTATAGTGTAGGATGCCACCTTTCCAACAAGTCAGCTCGTCCAATTTCTGTCCTGCTAGCAGCGTCCCCGGTCAACTGTAAGTGCTGTTATTGTGAAGTGTCTAGGCCGCAAAGTGGTAGGCCACACACAAGCTCACAGAACGGGACTGCCGAGTGCTGAAGCGCGTAGCGCTTAAAAATCCTCTGTCCTCGGTTGCAGCACTCACTACAGAGTTCCAGTGGCTAGGCCACTTAGTTCCAGTGAAGAGAAATCTTAACGCTAAGGCATACAATGACATTCTAGACGATTCTGTGTTTCAATCTTTTTGGGGAAGGCCCTTTCCTGTTTCAGCATGACAATGCCCCTGTGCACAAAGTGAGGTCCATACAGAAATGGTTTGCCAAGATCGGTGTGGAAGAACTTGACTGGGTTGCACAGAGCCCTGACTTCAACCCCATCGAACACCTTTGGGATGAATTGGAACGCCGACTGCGAGCCAGACCTAATCGCTCAACATCAGTGCCCGACCTCACTAATGCTCGTGGCTGAATGGAAGCAATGTTCCAACATCTAGTGGAAAGCCTTCCCAGAAGAGTGGAGGCTGTTATAGCAGCAAAGGGGGGACCAACTCCATGTTAATGCCCATAATTTTGGAATGGGATGGTTGACGAGCAGGTGTCCACATACTTTTGGGCATGTAATGTATCTGTAAATGGTAATACCAGTCTCCTCTCTTCTCACAAAGGCCCTACAATTTGATTGTCAAACTAAATGTATAATTGTGTGAGTAAGTTTATTTAGCCATGCGTGGGCACCTGTAGTCAGTGTATAGTAGGGGAATGTTGATTGTGCCAGTGCTGTGTGTGCAGATATTCAAGGACATGCCAGTTCCGGGAGGTGGCCCGGCCAACCTACAGCTAAACCTGCAGCCGCGGAGGAGGAGCACGGAGAGCAAGGCCCAGTCCTGCAGCGAGAGACCCCTCACCCTCTTCCACACACCCACACACTCCCAGAAAGGTGGGCACAAGCACAATAGTCTCTCTTCACCCCACACGCCCTTCCTAGATGTTCAACGTGTCAGTCAGGACAGGAGATACAAACTGCCAGATATTTGTTCATCCTCCTTCATTTAAATTACTTTCTTCTCCTTTTCAAATGTAAAAAAAAAGATCCATTAAAAGTATTTGCTTTAATTATCCTCCTCACCCACTCATCTTCCTTTTGCTGTTATGTAGTGGAGAAGAGGAACAGCGTGCTATTGAACTCTACTCCAGAGCCCCAGCCAGCCCAGGCCAAGGCCCCCCACAACAACCCCTCAGCCACCCCCTCCTCCTCCTCAGCAGTGGTCAACCATATCAGCAGTGGCAGCCACGGCCAAAGCTGGATCCCACGCAACAGCCTGACCAGCACTGACGGAGACCAGGACAGGGGCCTAATGGCCAGGCAGAACGCACAGAGCCGCCCAAACTCACTGTGAGTACACATGCATAAGCAAGCCTGCAAAAACGCACGAACACAAGCTATCTTTCTTCATCCTCCTCTCTCTCTTTCTTTCTTCATCCTCCTCTCGGTCTCTTTCTTCACCCTCCTCTCTCTCTTTCTTCATCCTCCTCTCTGTCTCTTTCTCTGCGATGACGTAATACTAATCTGAGTGTTGATAGAAGACATCTTTGATGGAATATGATCTTACCTTGTGAAATCTCCAGAGGGTTGACAAAAGTAATTTAGCTCACTGGGAGATGCGAGATGTGTTCTCAAAGGCAGCCTCTCCAAAACCATACTCTACTCAATTGGCTATACCTCTCTCGCGCTTGCTCTCCCACTGTATCTATTATTATTATATTATTATTATATATTATTATTTATCTTCAGAGCTCTGTTCTCATGTGTTCTCTTTCCCTTAAGATCATGTTTGGAGGTGTTGGCACTGAGGAGAATGGGTCCATTTGCAGTGTGATCCTCTCTCTCTCTCGCTCTTTCTCTCTATCCCTCTCCTTCTCTTCTCTATCACTCTTTTTCCCTCTCTCTGTCTCTCTTTCTCCCTCTCCCCGCTCTCTCTCTGTCCCTCCCTCCCTCCCTCCCTCGCTCTCTATCCCTAGCCACAAGCTGATAGCCTTTCGGAACACACTTAATTCCCTCCATTATGAAGTGTAGGACAAGAGATGGAGAGAGAGACAGCGTGTTGTCAGTATGTTTCTCCCCGACGCTAGCCAGGGGTCTGATAATGGGTCATAATGAATCTGAGTTTTAACGACAACATGGTGCATTCACAAAATGGTGCATTCAAAACAAAGTGCATCAGAGATATTAAAGAAAGGAGGAGATAGGAATCCCATTGGGCATTGAATGGAGAAACGTATAACGCCCCACCCAGCAGACTGTTGGCCAATCACATTCACGTTGTCATGCTGTGTCACGCGGTTCCTAAACTAATCGTCATGCAATCCCTTCTCAAAGTCATGGTATGAGTCGAGAAACCTGACTTTTCCTCAAAAGTACATAATGTCACGATTCCAAAGCTACAGTCGTGGTCAAAAGTTTTGAGAATGACACAAGTATTGGACTTCACAAAGTTTGCTGCTTCAGTGTTTTTAGATATTTTTGTCAGATGTTACTATGGTATACTGAAGTATAATTACAAGCATTCCATAAGTGTCAAAGGCTTTTATTGACAATGACATTAAGTTTATGCAAAGAGTCAATATTTGCAGTGTTGACCCTTCTTTTTCAAGACCTCTGCAATCCGCCCTGGCATGCTGTCAATTAACTTCTGGGACACATCCTGACTGATGGCAGCCTATTCTTGCATAATCAATGCTTGGAGTTTGTCAGAATTTGTGGGTTTTTGTTTGTCCACCCGCCTCTTGAGGATTGACCACAAGTTCTCAATGGGATTAAGGTCTGGGGAGTTTCCTGGCCATGGACCCAAATTTTTGATGTTTTGTTCCCCGAGCCACTTAGTTATCACTTTTGCCTTATGGCATGGTGCTCCATCATGCTGGAAAAGGCATTGTTCGTTACCAAACTGTTATTGGATGGTTGGGAGAAGTTGCTCTCGGACGATGTGTTAGTACCATTCTTTATTCCTGGCTGTGTTCTTAGGCAAAATTGTGAGTGAGCCCACTCCCTTGGCTGAGAAGCAACCCCACACATGAATGGTCTCAGGATGCTTTACTGTTGGCATGACACAGGACTGATGGTAGCGCTCACCTTGTCTTCTCCGGACAAGCTTTTTTCCGGATGCCCCAAACAATCGGAAAGGGGATTCATCAGACAAAATGACTTTACCCCAGTCCTCAGCAGTCCAATCCCTGTACCTTTTGCAGAATATCAGTCTGTCCCTGATGTTTTTCCTGGAGAGAAGTGGCTTCCTCGCTGCCCTTCTTGACACCAGGCCATCCTCCAAGCAAGCTCTGCACTGGTGGTGCCCCGATCCCGCAGCTGAATCAACTTTAGGAGACGATCCTGGCACTTGCTGGACTTTTTTGGGCGCCCTGAAGCATTCTTCACAACAATTGAACCTCTCTCCTTGAAGTTCTTGATGATCCGATAAATGGTTGATTTAGGTGCAATCTTACTAGCAGCAATATCCTTGCCTGTGAAGCACTTTTTGTGCAAAGCAATGATGACGGCACGTGTTTCCTTGCAAGTAACCATGGTTAACAGAGGAAGAACAATGATTTCAAGCACCACCCTTATTTTAAAGCTTCCAGTCTGTTATTCTAACTCAATCAGCCTGTCAGAGTGATCTCCAGCCTTGTCCTCGTCAACACTCTCACCTTTGTTAACGAGAGAATTACTGACATGATGTCAGCTGGTCCTTTTGTGGCAGGGCTGAAATGCAGTGGAAATGTTTTTTGGGGATTAAGTTCATTTTCATGGCAAAGAGGGACTTTGCAATTAATTGCAATTAATCTGATCACTCTTCATAACATTCTGGAGTATATGCAAATTGTCATCATAAAAACTGAGGCAGCAGACTTTGTGAAAATTAATATTTGTGTCATTCTCAAAACTTTTGACCACGACTGTATACGATATTACAGAGAACAAGTTAATAATCTCACATCTCAGAAAATATTTGTAATGTTGTACTCCTTTTTCACGAAATTCATGCTAATGTTGGGTTTTTGAGCTTGTGCACAATTGACTCCCATTCACTCCTTGAAGGAGAGCTTTCCTTGTCCCAGAATCGCCCAGAATGCACCACACGGCCCATTGACGACGCATTGGTCACTCTATGGTGGAACAAGCTCCCCCACGACGCCGCCAGGACAGCGGAGTCACTGACCACCTTCCGGAGACACTTGAAACCCTACCTCTTTAAGGAATACCTGGAATAGTATAAAGTAATCCTTCTTCCCCCACCCCCCATAAAAAAATTAAAATAAAAAGGTGGTTGTCCCACTGGCTATCATAACTTGAATGCACCAATTTGTAAGTCGCTCTGGATAAGAGCGTCTGCTAAATGATGTAAATGTAAAATTCGTATTCAGACCCCTTGACTTTTTCCACATTTTGTTATGTTACAGCCTTATTCTAAAATTGATTAAATAGTTTTTTCCCCCCCTTATCAATCTACACACAGTACCCCATAATGACAAAGCAAAAACAGGTTTTTAGAAACCTAAAATGAAATATGACATTTACATAAGTATTCAGACCCATTACTCAGTTCTTTGTTGAAGGACCTTTGGCAGCAATTACAGCCTCAAGTCTTCTTGGGTATGACGCTACAAGCTAGGCACACCTGTATTTGGGGAGTTTCTCCCATTCTTCTCTGCAGATCTTCTCAAGCTCTGTTAGGTTGGATGGGGAGCGTCTCTGCACAGCTATTTTCAGGTCTCTCCAGAGATGTTTGATCGGGTTCAAGTCCGGGCTCTGGCTGGGCCACTCAAGGACATTCAGAGACTTGTCCCGAAGCCACTCCTGCGTTGTCTTGGCTGTGTGCTTAGGGTCGTTGTCCAGTTGGAAGGTCAACCTTCACCCTGTTCTGAGGTCCTGAGTGCTCTGGAGCAGGTTTTCATCAAGGATCTTTCTGTACTTTGCTCCGTTCATCTTTCCCTCGATCCTGACTAGTCTCCCAGTCCCTACCGCTGAAAAACATCCCCACAGCATGATGCTGCCACCACCATGCTTCACCGTAGGGATGGTGCCAGGTTTCCTCCAGACGTGACGCTTGGCATTCAGGTCAAAGAGTTCAATCTTGGTTTCATCAGACCAGAAGATCTTGTTTCTCATGGTCTGAGAGTCCTTTAGGTGCCTTTTGTAAAAACTCCAAGCGGGCTGTCATGTGCCTTTTACTAAAGAGTGGCTTCCGTCTGGCCACTCTACCATAAAAGGCCTGATTGGTGGTGCTGCAGAGGTGGTTGTTCTTCTGGAAGGTTCTCCCATCTCCACAGAGGAACTCTAGAGCTCTGTCAGAGTGACCATTGGGTTCTTGGTCACTTCCCTGACCAAGGCCCTTCTCCCCCGATTGCTCAGTTTGGCCGGGCGGCCAGCTCTAGGATGAGTCTTGGTGGTTCAAAACTTCTTCCATTTAAGAATGATGGAGGCCACTGGGGACCTTCAATGCTGCATAAATGTTTTGGTACCCTTCACCAGATCTGTGCCTCGATACAATCCTGTCTCTGAGGTCTATGGACGACCTCATGGCTTGGTTTTTGGTCTGACATGCACTGTCAACTGTGGGACCTTATTAAGACAGGTGTGTGCCTTTCCAAGTCGTGTCCAAGCAATTGAATTTACCACAGGTGGACTCCAATCAAAAACGGGATACACCTGAGATACACCTGAGCTCAATTTCGATTCTCATAGCAAAAGGTCTGAATACTTATGTGAATAAGGTATTTCTGTTTTTAAAAAAAAATTAAATTACCAAACATTTCTAAAAACATGTTTTCACTTTGTCATTATGGGGTATTGTGTGTAGATTGATGAGGATTTTTTTTTACTTAATCCATTTTAGAATAAGGCTGTAACGTAACAAAATGTGGAAAAAGGGAAGGGTCTGAATACTTTCCGAATGCACTCTACACAATGGGCATAAATACAATTCCAATGGAGTTCCCCATCTCCTCAGTAGTATCTCTGGGCGCATTCACAAAATGGTTTATTTGAGGATTTCATTGATAATTTGCTGTGTCTAAATCCAAAGAGTCACTTGGTGTTTAGTCAATTTAAATTAAGGGCAATTACATTGTGAGCAAAATAAGTAATCATATCACTTTAGTAAATTATTTTTTAGCATCTGTTGCCTCGATTAAGAAAATCCTAAATAACCAACAATGTCTTATTGGTGTTACTACTCCAACAGGTGGCATAATGTTATCAAAATGGCATATTAGTTGATTTAGAATGGGAAGATGTACCCAAATAAATTTAAATAAATACAAGTCTAGAAAAAGAAGTCATTTTTTTCAAAAATGCCATGCCCAAATGCCACCGCAATTCAAGAACGACCCTTTTATGAATTTTCTTTTAATTAAACCTTCACAAGCAATTTGATGGTTTGACAACAACCAGGTATTTTTAGCTTTAAAAAAATTGGTTAAAAGCAAGATTTCCTCTCAGAAAGCAAATACAGTGGTTTGGTAAGCCAAGAGTTTATCCATTCAGTACTGACATGCAGTGAAAGACCATAAAACAGCTGATTAAGACGTCAATGGGCTTTTTTTGGAGCAACTATGTTTTATTCGTTTTTAACAGTGTTGCAGCTTTTTTACAGCAGAAAACTGACTCGTATTACAAGTGTTTATTTAACTCCCCGTGCTGATGATCTGAAAGGTGATGTGTAGGGGAGCGAGGGAGAGCAGACAAGAGGTTGGAGGAAAGAGAGGAGAACTCTCAGGGGGAAGCAGGGGAGACCTTCTCGCTCTCACATAACTGGAACCTTGTTCAACTGGTTCAATGCTAGCCTATAGTGACTTGGTTTCATTCAATGCTAGCCTGTTTAGTGACTTGGTTTCATTCAATGCTAGCCTGTTTAGTGACTTGGTTTCATTCAATGCTAGCCTGTTTAGTGACTTGGTTTCATTCAATGCTAGCCTGTTTAGTGACTTGGTTTCATTCAATGCTAGCCTGTTTAGTGACTTGGTTTCATTCAATGCTAGCCTGTTTAGTGACTTGGTTTCATTCAATGCTAGCCTGTTTAGTGACTTGGTTTCATTCAATGCTAGCCTGTATGGTGACTTGGTTTCATTCAATGCTAGCCTGTTTAGTGACTTGGTTTCATTCAATGCTAGCCTGTTTAGTGACTTGGTTTCATTCTAGGCTAGCCTATAGTGACTTGGTTTCATTCAATGCTAGCCTATAGTGACTTGGTTTCAGTTTGTAGAACATTCTGGTTGTTAATAGCTGGCTTGTGCACGGTGGCTGGCAGAGGCCCTCATTCAGACGTGTCTAGTGACAGTGGTCCTGTCTGGTACAACCTAGCCATTAGCCAATCATAGCCACCACTACCCTCCAAAGACTGCCTCAGAATACCCAGGATGTTAGAAAGTGAACAGTTGGCTCCACGAACAGCCATACAAGTTATTTTAACACAGCACTTGTTTGACTTAAACACATAGATAAAAGTTAAGATTTTTTATTTTCTGAATGGAGACAGTGTGTTCAAAACATTAGGAACACCTGCTCTTTCCATGACATAGACTGACCAGGTGAAAGCTATGATCACTTCTTGATGTCATTTGTTAATAAATCCACTTAAATCAGTGTAGATGAAGGGGAGGACAGGTCAAAGAAGGATTTTGAAGCCTTGATACAATTGAGACATTGATTGTGTATGTGTGCCATTCCGAGGGTGAATGGGCAAGACAAAATATTTAATTGCCTTTGAACAGGGTATGATAGTAGGTGCCAGGCGCAGCTGTTTGTGTCAATAACTGCAACGCTGCTGGGTTTTTCACAATTTCCTGTGTGTATCAAGAATGGTCCACCACCCAAAGGACATCCAGCCAACTTGACATAACTTGGAGTCAACATGGGCCAGCATCTGTGTGGAACGCTTTCGACACCTTGTAGAGTCCATGCCCTGACTAATTGAGTCTGTTCTGAGATCAAAAGGGGCGGGATGCAACTCAATATTAGGAAGGTGTTCTTAATGTTTTTTATAATCAGTGTATGTCTGATAAGCGGTTTAACAGTATCACAGCTCATAATAGTAACCCTGGTACCACTTACAAGTTCTAGGAAGACCTTGACCCCTGACCTCAGTGGAAACATCAGTAAAGAGGCATACTGTACTTAGGGGTCAAAAGTTCAGGCCATCCAAAACCGCCTCTGAAAGTAATACAATTTTACTAATGCACCTTGAGTTTCGTTTCGGTCTTCTCTTTCTTTGTAGTTTTATCAGATGGTGAAATTATGATTTAACGCAAACCTCAGAGAACCTTTCAAAGTTCTATCTGTTTGTTTTGGTTAAGTCACCTTACAGGTCCTTTGGTTGGCCTCAGCGATGACACCATGGCAGGGTCCGTCTTTTCCTCTGGGGATCTCAGCTGTTATTGTTTCTTCCTATTCTGTTTTATTAGAAGGAGAGCTGTAGCACAGGGCTGAATTACAACTGTGAAAAACAAACAAGGAAGAATCCCTGGTGAATCAGATCTCAAGAAATTCTTGAAAACGTGTAATCTATCACGACTCAGGATATGACCCAGATGCAGACACAAGAGGTGGATGGTTCGGTTCTCAGAATATTTATTATCACAAAGGGTCAGGCAAAAGGGCAGGTTGAGGGCAAGCAGAGGTTCGTAATCCAAGGCAGAGTCAACAAGGAACATAATTGTAGGCGGGCTCAGGGGCAGGCAGAAAGGTCGGAACCGTGAAGACTAGAAAACAAAACTAGAGAGAAGGTAACACATGGAAAACACCCTGGGACGACTTGACGAGACAAGACGAACTGGCAACAGACAAACAGAAAACGCAGGTATAAATACACAGGGGATAATGGGGAAAAATGGGAGACAGGTGAAACAGATCAGGGTGTTACAGTACCCCCCACCCCTCCCTCTAGGGGCGCCACCTGGCATCCTACACGGGCACATACCTGGTTGACCGGGGTGTCGGCAGCAGAACTAGCGGGGACCCAGCACCTCTCCTCCGGGCCATAACCCTCCCAGTCAACCAGGTACTGGAATGCCCTGCCCCGAGGTCGAACGTTCAGGAGGCGCCTCCCCGTGTTCGCCAGATGGCCGTCGATGAGATGGGAGGGAGGGGTGGGCCTGGAAACAGGAGACAAAGGGCTGTGAGACAAAGGTTTAATCCTAGACACATGGAAAGTGGGATGTATACGGAGGGTACGGGGCAACAGAAGACAAACTGCAGAGGGGCTCAGGACTTTAGAGATGGACCAATAAAACGGGGGGAATGTTTTCAAGACTCAACCCAGAGGGGCAGATCACGGGTGGACAGCCATACCCTCTGCCTGGTGCCGATAACGGGGAGCCGGGGTCCGGTTGCGATCCGCCTGTAAGGATAGTGGTGTTGCCATCTGACGGAGGGAGACCAGTGACAAAGTCCAGGGAGATATGGGACCAGGGGAGATGAGGAACAGGGAGTGGTTGAAGGATTTAGCCAGCTGGAGCTTGCCATGGAGTTTTGTTCTGTGCGCACACAGTGCAGGCGGCGACAAATGCTGAGACGTCCAGAACCATGGTGGGCCACCAAAAACGTTGGCTGATGAAAGCCAGGGTCCGACGGGAGCCGGGATGACAGGTGAGTTTAGAGGAATGGGCCCATTCCAGGACTGGGTACCGGGCCGAATCTGGTACGAACATCCGGTTAGCCGGCCCGCAGAAGGACGTCCCAGGGCAGGCTGCGCCGCCTTAAGGCAATGTGCGTGGCAGAACGGGCTCCAACCCAGGATGGAACCAGTATCCCAGTCGATCAGGGGGTTGTGCCTCTGAAGCCATGAAAATCCCAAAACCACAGGTGATTGCCCAACACTCGCAGGTTCATGGGAACCGTACTGTGAGTGACCCTCCCAATGGAGTGTCCGTCCAAAGCTCTGGTGTCCATGGGAATGGAGAGGAGTTGAGTAGAGATACCCAGCTCAGATACCAGGGTAGCGTCCATGAAGCTCTCGTCAGCCCAAGAGTCAATGAGCACCCGGAGAGAGTTTGACCGGTCACACCACAGCAGGATAGCGTGGAGAGGAGTGTGAGTAATGGGAGTTTGGAGACTCCCTGTATGGCCCATCAGCGTACCCTTACCTACCGATGAGTCTGGTCTTTTGCTGGACAGGTGGATATGTAATGTCCTGAAGTCCCACAATACAGGCAACTGTTGGAGCTCAGCCTGCGTAAACGTTCACTAGGAGACAATCTAGCCGTGCCCAGTTGCATTGGCTCAGGAGGAGATGAGTCGCCAGTCCCCAGTGATCCCTGAGGGGGCTCGGGTGATTTCGGATTCTCTCAGGAATGCAGGCATCGAGGACTTCCAGGGTTCTTCGGAGGCGAGGGAGAAACCGTGGACGAGAGTGTGTGACTGAGAACAGACCTCTCCCTCCTGCGTTCCTGTAGGCGCCCATCGATCCTTATAGTCAAGGCTATGAGGCAGTCGAGGTCCCTGGGTAACTCCCGGGCTGTGAGTTGGTCTTTGATTTCCTCCAATAATCCATGAAGGAAGGTGTCGAACAGGGACTCCGGGTTCCAGGCACTCTCGGCGGCCAGCATACGAAAGTCTACCACGTAGTCTGCCACACTGCAAGCAGAGGTTCGCAATCCAAGGCAGAGTCAACAAGGAACAGAATGGCGGGCAGGCAGAAAGGTTGGAACCGGGAAGACTAGAAAACCAAACTAGAGAGAAGGTAACACACGGAAAACACGCTGGGATGACTTGACGAGACAAGACGAACTGGCAACAGACAAACAGAAAACGCAGGTATAAATACACAGGGGATAATGGGGAAAAATGGGAGACACTTGGTGGGGGGTGGAGACAAGCACAAGACAGGTGAAACAGATCAGGGTGAAACACATCATTGAAATATTTCCTTTTCTCCTAGTCAGCCAGTTGTACAAAGAGCTATCACTCAACAGGGCCAGTCGAAGCGAGTTCTGCCACGACTACAGTCTCTCGAGAAGCTAACATTCTCTCCATCTCACTACATCCCTCTCTCTCGCTCTGTCTCTCTCTCTCTCAGTAGAGCTGTGTCTCTCAAGAATTGTAAATAGCAGAAAGCAGCCTTGGACTGGTTAATCCACTTCTGGGTACTGGCAGAACTGTAGAATTAAGGGTTTCAGGTCAGGATTCTAGAACCTTGGTTAGCGAAAGGGGCAGGTCACAAAAACATAGCACTGACGGCAATATGATAGTTATGGATTAGTGACGGATCTGTAGCGTATTGTTCTAATAAGAGAGGTACTAAACTCAGCTGACCCTTTGCAGACATGAACACAAACCAGATGGAGTTAGAATTATCAGGCACATTAAGTATTTCCAAAGGTTGAGAAAAGCACCAACAATATGCTAAGAGCCATTCAGACATCACATCACAGTTATTACAGGCTTTGTGAGTACAAAAATGTTTTACTCATAATTCTACTGCTTACATTTACATTTTAGTCATTTAGCAGATGCTCTTATCCAGAGTGAGTGCATACATACATTTTTTTTTTTAGGTGACTTTCCTTCTTACAATGTGGAGTTCTTGGAGACGTAGTGGAAAGCACTACAGATGTAGGATCTTAATTTGATTACCCTGTTGCAGGAGAACTTTCCTGCAACACAGGACATGTAAAACTTGTATTCTATTTGAGGTTTAAAAAGGCTTCTGAAGTTTTGTAATTTCCACTTTGAAATTTAGAAAAATGTATTAAACCCTACAAAAATAGCCATTAATTATCATCCACATAATAATTCACATTTCCTGTTGCTGCAGGATTATTTTCCTTCTGTAGCAAACTGGCTCAAATTAAGATCCTACATCTGTAGATACAAACCAATAATATTACAGTATCAGTGTTGACATTTCGCATGCCCTGCCTGTGTTCTCTCCATTAATGCAACAAGGCCCCCTGCCCTGACCAGTAATATCCTGCGTTACATTTGGCCTAGAGGCAGTTTAGTAACCTAGGGGGGTAGCGGACTAGGTGTAATACGGTCATCTTTATTTAGTCTGGCAGTGTTGATACCCCCATCTCATAAATATCTCTGGGCCTGGCATACTGTAATTGAATGATGTTGTCGAGATTGATGGACGATGTGAAGAAAAAAACGTGGGATCAGTTTCATTAAAGCCAGCTCAGGCGAACCGTGCCGCTCTGGGAGGAGGAGCAGAGATTAGCTGCTCGGCAGAGGAATGGCAGAGATGTATACCGTGGCGTTGAAAAACTAAGATGCATTCGCTTTGAATTAAAAATAGTAGACAAACAAATGGTGGAAGTGTATCTGATGTAGATTATAAAGAAATGACTAAACATTTATCTCAACACCTTGGGGTGTTTCACGTGTGGCAGATTGGGTCAGTGAGTTTGTGGGAGGTTGTTATGTTACACCAGGCAGAGCTAGCTATGTGGAAAGTATTATTCATGGCGTGCACTGTTTTTACTGATGGCCGTTTCTAAAAGTAACAGCACACAGAGGCACAGTGACTACATACATGATTAAATATAGGTATCAGTATGCCATTAATAATAACAATTTTCTCCACTGTAATGTGAAGCAGCATGACTAACTCAGTCTCCTCCATTGTGATTCCAGGCTGAACCCAAAGAGCCGCACCAGTATCCCAACGAGGTATGGATGTGTTCTTCACACCCTTTCGTCACTAACCAATGACACAAATCTATCACAAATTACAAGATAATTCAGTCATGATGTGTCTGTGCCGTTACAATAACAAATCACCTAGCATCAGTATTGCAAGTTCTTACCAGTTCCAACTCCCCCAATACATACTGAGCTACAGTGGGGGGAAAAAAGTATTTAGCCACTTAAAAAGATGAGAGGGGCCTGTAATTTTCATCATAGGTACACGTCAACTATGACAGACAAAATGAGAAAAATCTTTTTCCAGAAAACCACATTGTAGGATTTTTTATGAATTTATTTGCAAATTTTGGTGGAAAATAAGTATTTGGTCACCTACAAACAAGCAAGATTTCTGGCTCTCACAGACCTGTAACTTCTTTAAGAGGCTCCTCTGTCCTCCACTCGTTACCTGTATTAATGGCACCTGTTTGAACTTGTTATCAGTATAAAAGACACCTGTCCACAACCTCAAACAGTCACACTCCAAACTCCACTATGGCCAAGACCAAAGAGCTGTCAAAGGACACCAGAAACAAAATTGTAGACCTGCACCAGGCTGGGAAGACTGAATCTGCAATAGGTAAGCAGCTTGGTTTGAAGAAATCAACTGTGGGAGCAATTATTAGGAAATGGAAGCCATACAAGACCACTGATAATCTCCCTCGATCTGGGGCTCCACGCAAGATCTCACCCGTGGGGTCAAAATGATCACAAGAACGGTGAGCAAAAATCCCAGAACCACACGGGGGGACCTAGTGAATGACCTGCAGAGAGCTGTGACCAAAGTAACAAAGCCTACCATCAATAACACACTACGCCGCCAGGGACTCAAATCCTGCAGTGGCAGACGTGTCCCCCTGCTTAAGCCAGTACATGTCCAGGCCCGTCTGAAGTTTGCTAGAGTGCATTTGGATGATCCAGAAGAGGATTGGGAGAATGTCATATGGTCAGATGAAACCAAAATAGAACTTTTTGGTAAAAACTCAACTCGTCGTGTTTGGAGGACAAAGAATGCTGAGTTGCCTCCAAAGAACACCATACCTACTGTGAAGCATGGGGGTGGAAACATCATGCTTTTGGGCAGTTTTTCTGCAAAGGGACCAGGACGACTGATCCGTGTAAAGGAAAGAATGAATGGGGCCATGTATCGTGAGATTTTGAGTGAAAACCTCCTTCCATCAGCAAGGGCATTGAAGATGAAACGTGGCTGGGTCTTTCAGCATGACAATGATCCCAAACACACCGCTCGGGCAACGAAGGAGTGGCTTCGGAAGAAGCATTTCAAGGTCCTTGAGTGGCCTAGCCAGTCTCCAGATCTCAACCCCATAGAACATCTTTGGAGGGAGTTGAAAGTCCGTGTTGCCCAGCGACAGCCCCAAAACATCACTGCTCTAGAGGAGATCTGCATTGAGGAATGGGCCAAAATACCAGCAACAGTGTGTGAAAACCTTGTGAAGACTTACAGAAAACGTTTGACCTGTGTCATTGCCAACAAAGGGTATATAACAAAGTATTGAGAAACTTTTGTTATTGACCAAATACTTATTTTCCACCATAATTTGCAAATAAATTCAATAAAAATCCTACAATGTGATTTTCTGGATTTTTTTCCCTCATTTTGTCTGTCATAGTTGACGTGTACCTATGATGAAAATTACAGGCGTCTCTCATCTTAAGTGGGAGAACTTGCAGAATTGGTGGCTGACTAAATACTTTTTTCCCCCACTGTATAAATAAAATGCACCCTGATCTTTGCTCACAATCAGATATATTGTATTGCAGATGTCATCAAACCACGACAACTCTAGTCTAATGGGAATTGCCATAGTTTATTTGCGTATAAAGCCAACAAAAAACAACAAAGAACAACCAAGTTCCAGCTGATGCTTAGCTTAGTTCCAGCTGATGCTTAGTTCCAGCTGATGCCTGTATGCAGCCTGTACAGTTTGCCTCACGTCCCTGCACTCACTGAGCCACTGTCCACTAGATACTGGATATAGTATAGCCACTCCATGTAGTCGCTGACAGTCTAGTCACCGTGGATGTTGTGTATGTGTCTCTCAGCCCAGCCTCACCCAGCCCCACCTCACCGCGCTCCCCCTCCTGGCCGATGTTCTCTGCACCATCCAGCCCCCAGCCAGCCTCCTCCACCTCCAGTGACTCCTCCCCCATCAGGTCTGTCACCACGGCCGCCCAACACGCCAGCTTCGCTTGCACCACCTACTCACAATGCCAATTCTGGAGCTTTGCGCCGCCTCACTGCTGCACCCTCTGCCCCTCCCCCACCACCATGCATGATTACTGACAGACACTTCCTGATCACCCTGAGAGGCTTAACCTGTTCACACTATCGTGCCAATTTGAATTGCACTGTGCTAGCTCAGATTCATGTATTCCTTCCCAACAAGAATCCAGCAACTACGGCAGATGTGTAACCAGGCCAGCGCAGTACAGCTCAGCTCAGTGGTGTGAAAAGGGTATAAGTAAGGTGGATCACAGGCTCATCTTTGGTTGATTCAGGATACAGCCAGTCTATCAGACTTCCAAAGATTGTTATGCATGTAGCCAGGTAATTCAGATAAACTCCAGATTAGAAATACCTTGAGTCAGGTCTAGACAGGTTCAGAATAACCATGGGCCTTTTTTGGGGAGCTGTGTAAATATAATATAATATAATATAATATATAATAATAAATATGTCGGAAAATCAGTGTACTGATTGTAACACCTGCTGCCAGATTTATAACATATTCGTTGCTGCATTTTGCTTTACAACGACACATTTCCTTGTCCAACTATATAAATGTATTTATACAGCTGATGATTATAAGGGAAAAGTGAATTATAGGCACACAGAGACTTTCCATATGGGAGCAATGATGATGTTATGAGGTACTCTGGGACAGTTGGAGCTTCACCTGTCGTTGCTCCCAAGAGACAGTTAGGAGTGGTGGGACACTCAAAGTGCTCAATGTGATATCCTGGTGAGTTGGATTATGACATGTTATTTTCCCTCCCCCTCTGTAGCGTCCCAGGCAGGAAGGCTAGGGCCCTCTACGCCTGCAAGGCCGAGCACCACTCTGAGCTCTCATTCATCGCAGGGACCACCTTTGAAAATGGTGAGTACGGACCACTGTGACTCTTAAATAACCGTGTCACAATCCCAAAATATTTCTAAAAACCTGTCTTCGCTTTGTCATTATGGGGTATTGTGTGTAGATTGATGAGGGGGAAAAAAACTTTTAATCCATTTTAGAATAAGGCTGTAACGTAACAAAATGTGGAAAAAGTCAAGGGGTCTGAATACTTTCCGAAGGCACTGTAAGGTTTTAGAACAATAATAGGTCTACCATCCCACATGTTTCACCCCTAGACCCTAGACCCTACACCCTAGACCAGGGTTCTTCAAATCCGGTCCTGGAGGGCCGAAACACCTCTGTTTTTCATCCTCTCCTTCTATTAAGGGGCTAATTCAGACCTGGGACACCAGGTGAGTGCAATTAACTACCGGGTAGAAATAAAAAACAGAAGTGTTTCGGCCCTCCAGGACCGGAATTGAAGAACCCTGCCCTACACCCTATGCCCTTGTGGAGATCTGAGAGGATTTGGTTGGTAGAAGCAATATGGTGAAACTTCCACCCAGCCTATCAGAGGGCAAGGTGGAGCTATTACCAGATTGGTTGCACCTGTCAAATCCTTTCAGATCTCCACAAGGGCATAGGGTCTAGGGCATAGGGTCTAGGGTCTAGGGCATAGGGTCTAGGGTGTAGGGTCTAGGGGTGAAACATGTGGGATGGTAGACCTATTATTATTCTAAAACCTTACAGTGCCTTCGGAAAGTATTCAGACCCCTTGACTTTTTCCACATTTTGTTACGTTACAGCCTTATTCTAAAATGGATTACATTGTTTTTTCCCCCTCATCAATCTACACACAATACCCCATAATGACAAAGCAAAGACAGGTTTTTAGAAATGTTAGCAAATTTATTTGAAATAAAACACTGAAATATCACATTTACATACTGTAAGTATTCAGACCCTTTACTCACTACTTTGTTGAAACACCTTTGGCAGCGATTACAGCCTAGAGTCTTCTTGGATATGACGCTACAAGCTTGGCACACCTGTGTTTGGGGAGTTTCTCCCATTCTCCTCTGCAGATCTTCTCAAGCTCTGTCAGGTTGGATGGGGAGCGTCGCGGCACAGCTATTTTCAGGTCTCTCCAGAGATGTGGGCTCTGGCTGGGCCACTCAAGGACATTCAGAGACTTATCACGAAGCCACTCCTGCTTTGTCTTGGCTGTGTGCTTAGGGTTGTTGTCCTGTTGGAAGGTGAACCTTCGCCCCAGTCTGAGGTCCTGAGCGCTCTGGAGCAGGTTTTCATCAAGGATCTCTCTGTACTTTGCTCCGTTCATCTTTCCCTCGATCCTGACTAGTCTCCCAGTCCCTGCCGCTGAAAAACATCCCCACAGCATGATGCTGCCACCACCATGCTTCCCCGTAGGGATGGTGCCAGGTTTCCTCCAGATGTGACGCTTGGCATTCAGGTCAAAGAGTTCAATCTTGGTTTCATCAGACCAGAGAATCTTGTTTCTTATGGTCTGATAGCCCTTTAGGTGCCTTTTGGCAAACTCCGAGCAGGCTGTCATGTGCCTTTTACTGAGGGGTGGCTTCCGTCTGGTCACTCTACCATAAAGGCCTAATTGGTGGAGTACTGCAGAGATGGTTGTCCTTCTGGAAGGTTCTCCCATCTCCACAGAGGAACTCTGGAGCTCTGTCAGAGTGACCATCAGGTTCTTGGTCACCTCCCTTCTCTCCCGACTGCTCAGTTTGGCTGGGCGGCCAGCTCTAAGAAGAGTCTTGGTGGTTCCAAACTTCTTCCATTTAAAAATGATATAGGTCACTGTGTTCTTGTGGACCTTCAACGCTGCAGACATTTTTTGGTACCCTTCCCCAGATCTGTGCCTCGACACAATCCTGTCTCGGAGCTCTACGGACAATTCCTTCGACCTCATGGCTTGGTTTTTGCTCTGACATGCACTGTCAACTGTGGGACCTTATATAGACAGGTGTGTGCCTTTCCAAATCATGTACAATGAAATGAATTTACAACAGGTGGACTCCAATCAAGTTGTAGAAACATCTCAATGATGATCAATGGAAACATGATGCACCTGAGCTCAATTTCGAGCCTCATAGCAAAGGGTCTGAATACTTATGTAAATAAGGTAGTTCTATATATATATATATTTAATATACATTTGCAAACATTTATAAAAACCTGTTTTCACTTTGTCATTATGGGGTATTGTGTGTAGATTGATGAGGATTTGTATTTATTTAATCCATTTTAGAATAAGGCTGTAAAATGTGGAAAAAGTCAAGGGGTCTGAATATTTTCCGAATGCACTGTATATTGGTCACATGAGAAATTAGCCAGGGGTTTTCTCTGACCTGTAAACGCTGCATATGTCGGCTCTATCGGAAATTACCTTTGTATTTCTATCGCAGAATCTGTAACGCTTCAGCTTTACAGATTGAATAGAGCCGTTAGAGTTTGATTAGCTGAGAAGGAGATTTGGCTCTCAAGAATAAGGGTGACATTTACTGTAGACAGAGCAGCCAATTGAGCGAGGTGGCTTATAGATTAAAACTGTTATGAAGATTTTCTAAAATACACTGTCTGAATGTCCAAGCCCAGTGTAGCCTGTCTTCACACATCTCTTAGTACCAGAAGGATTATAGTGCATGTCTGGTTAGGTCCAGGGTCTGATGCTCTGGGAACAGCAGTTTAGCAGCGTGGGAATCAGCCACACAACCACCCAGGTTGCTGAGGGGCAGGAAGAAAGAAGAAAAATACTTGTATGAGGCCCTGGTCAAAAGTAGTGCACTATACAGTACCAGTCGAAAGTTTGGACACACCTCCTCATTCCAGGGTTTTTCTTTGTTTTTACTATTTTCTACATTGTAGAATAATAGTGAAGAGATCAAAACTATGAAATAACACTCATGGAATCATGTAGTAATGAAAAAAGGTGTTCAACAAATCAAAATACATTTTATATTTGAGATTCTTCAAAGTAGCCACCCTTTGCCTTGATGACAGCTTTGCACACTCTTGGCATTCTCGCAACCAGCTTCATGAGGTAGTCACCTGGAATGCATTTAAATTAACAGGTGTGCCTTGTTAAAAGTTAATTTGTGGAATTTCTTCCCTTCTTAATGCGTTTGAGCCAATCAGTTGTGTTATGGGGGGTATACAGAAGATAGCCCTACTTGGTAAAAGACCAAGTCCATATTATGTCAAGAACAGCTCAAATAAGCTTCTTTCCTAAGCTTTCCTAGCTGCAGTTCCTAGCTACCAAAACAATACTAGGGGCGCTATTAAATCTGTAAAGCGTTACAGATTACCTTTACATTTCTATCGCGCAATTTCTGATTGAGGTGACATATGCAGCGTTTACTGTGAAATGTTATTGCCTTAAAATTTCAATTAAGCCGTGACGCTGAACTTCCGCGATACCCATTGAATAGTCAGTAAGGTCAGTCAAGACCATATCAAGAGAGTTTTCACACTCACTTATGTGCAGAAGTTATCTTCTCAACTCTCTGAGTAACCTGTCATTTATCAGTGCCTATATTTTGTTTATAGTTCAAAATGTTTTAGAAACAATATAGAAAGCACAGACCTATGGACTGATACATTTACAATAATTAATGTCATTGCAATCTTATGTAAATTGTATCTACAGCCAGCCCGTAATGGTGCTTCAGGTTTTCACACATCATACTAGCTTGGGTTATTTCAGGCAGAGGGTGGCTTGGGGTATCAGTGCTGCTAGGGGTCACGGTTGCACACTGGGGTCTTGTTCATCTTATACCTCCTTCTCAAGGAGGTACGCAGCGGTGTGTGTCACCCCCCTCTCCGATTGTACCCATAGCCACCAGAGTGCAACTGTCCCAGCTGTCAGTAGCCACTCACCATATGGGTCTCTGCTTTCAAATAGGGACTCTGTTCCGTTGGACAACATGAGAGGCAGTTAACGGTTGAGAACAGCTCAGCTATGTGCATCTGTCTCTCATCCCTCAGTTCATCCCTCCAGGGAGCCTGGCTGGCTGGAAGGCACCCTGGACGGCAGGATGGGCCTGATCCCGGAGAACTATGTGGAATTTGTTTAGCCCTGGACTAGGACTGGACTGAACTGGAGTGACTACGCAGCTGCACTGTGAACCTGCAGCTTATTGGAAGAGTCTGGAGCACAGAGGGCTTCCTGCTGTGCATGGTCATGAATCTGGAATTCAGAAGCAGACTGGTGTGTGTGTGTGTGTGTGTATTGCATTGTTGCTACAAAGGCTCATTCCCCTGTTCAGACAATCCTTATTTCATTGAATTGCACTGCCACTGCTTTTAGTGTCTTCTATCATCTGTTGGAACTTTGGAAGATGTTTCCATTTTGGGGCGGGAAAAAAGTAATTGGTCTGAGGTTTGGACTGCAGTCCAACTTCTCTTCCAGTGTACTGTCTGTAGGAATGGGGCGGCTGGTAGCCTAGCGGTTAAGAGCGTTGGCCCAGTAACCAAAAGGTCACTGGTTAGAATCCACAATCTGACTAGGTGAAAAACCTGTTGTGCCCTTGAGCAAGGCACTTAACCCTAATTGCTCCTGTAAGTCGCTCTGGATAAGAGCGTCTACTAAAATGTCAAATGTAACAATGAATGGAGTTGATTGTGTGGGGTTCTTTCATCTCTAAATGATGGGGGGGGGGGGGGTATTTTTCAGCGAGTATTGCTGTAAATGTGAGCGCTTTCTGCCTTGCCATGGCAACCCGGTATTCCCCTAGACAAGACAGAACACAACTGTTGTTTACCTACCTGTCCAGTACCGAGGTGGGAGCATCCTGAATGTCTTAACTCCCAGTTAGACACATTTTAATAGCTTTTTTTTTTTTTGCTCAGAACTACTAGGTGAAATTGTCTCCATAAACCTGGAAATAAAGTTAACTGAACTGTTTTCATTAAAATCTTAACAGGTAAAGGAGAGAGTGTAAAAAATGTTTTAATGTGAAACTAGACCACTTATGTTATTTATATACATTTTCAAAGCTGAGATCTGAACTGTATTCTTTGAGTGTATTAACATTGTAAATACATTACATTTGATAAAGGTATCATTTCAGTATCACATTTTATGTTTTGTATTGTAGCATACTAACTTTTGCATCTTAGTTGCTTCATTTTTTGTGTCATTTATTTCACGTCCATTGGGAGCCTTAATATTCTTCCTGATCAAATGAATCATGAACAAGGTTGTACAGAATATCATCTATTAAAGATCAACTTTGAACTCGCAGAGCTGTCCTAGTTTATTGATGTCTCAATGCCTTGGATTTTATAGACCTGTTCTGAGCAGTGGCGTGTAGCCATGGATGCCAAGGGAAGCCAGGCTTCACACACATTTATTTTTATTTTTACATTATTTACATTTAGTCTCTCTGTCTTTCATAATTTTCCTTCAGTTCACAAGAGGCTGAGTATCTCACAGGAGAAAGCAACCGAGCGAGCAAAACAGCGCCCCTCTGTCTCTCTACGTGTAGGCCATATATCTGATGATGTCTGGTCCAAACGAGTATGACATTGTTGCCGTCCGTAGCGTTGAAGCCAAGGGAAGCCAGCAAGCATCTGGCCTCCCTTGACCAAAAAAATATATATATATATTTTTGCCAATCAGCGTTGAGCTAAACTGAGCGATCAACTGTGAATGGTCCTGGAGCAACAAAAAAAAAAAAAGTCAACCGAAGCCAGCTTGGATTTGGCGTCACTCCTATCAAATCCCATTGAGAGCATACATCAGACAGAAAAACTTGAATTGTTGCATCTCGTGTTGTCCTCCGACGGCTAGCTAGCCAGCTAGCTAAAATTGGCCCTTTCCTAAATTAGCCATGGATGGAGATAGGGATTTGGACATGTGGATTTACTTCATTCTCCGTACTGGCCAATGATTATAACGGCGATTCTGATCCAACCATTCATTCATACATTGTTGTGCCCCTGGCCTGAGAGGATGGAAGTTCAATATGTAGCTAGATGTAGAAGGCTAACAAAAAAATGAAAGCATGTACTGTATGACAGAGTGATAGAACGTTTCGTCAACATGAAAGAGAGGAGGATGGCATTGGCGTTTCCCTACAATTAGGGTGAGTCAACATGTTTTTCTACTTGCACGAACACACAGAAATCAGAACCATGGACAGCCACATTATTTCATTTATGTTGATTTAACTAAATTGTTTTGGTATTATTTAGTTGTCACTGTATTAGACTAAGCAGAGGTGATTTGATTATGTTGAAATTGAAATGGTGCTGAAATAGTGGAGGCAGCTGCTGTTTTCTTTGCGACTTGCGGTAACTCTCCGTGGTTCTAAATTCTAATTTTGCATCATACTGTGGTATACTGTCTGATTATACCACAGCTGTCAGCAAATCAGCATCCAGGTCTCAAACTACCCGGTTTATAATCCGTTACCTTGCTCCAGATGTACTCCTGAGTGGCGCAGTGGTCTAAGGCACTGCATCGCAGTGCTAACTGTGCCGCTAGAGATCCTGGTTCGAATCCAGGCTCTGTCGCAGCCGGCCGCGACCGGGAGACTCATGGGCGGCGCACAATTGGCCCAGCGTCGTCCAGGGTAGGGGAGGGAATGGCCGGCAGGGATGTAGCTCAGTTGATAGAGCATGGCGTTTGCAACGCCAGGGTTGTGGGTTCGATTCCCACGGGGGGCCAGTATAAAAAAAATAAAAAATAAAGATTTATTCACTAAACTGTAAGTCGCTCTGGATAAGAGCGTCTGCTAAATGACTAAAATGTAAATGTAAATAACACACCTATCCATGACCTCAGTGACTTCAAACCAGCTATGTTAGCAACGTAAGCCCTTTAGAAGTTGAACACAGAGGATAGGCTTACGGTCATTTCTCAAATATTTCCTCAAGTGGTGAACAGGTTCCCAGCTCCAGAAAGTTTGACAGGGAGTCAAAACATTTTCATACTATAGAGTGATATGGAAATTGTAAATTGTCTTTGAAGTTCCTGTGAACCTTTATGTCTGACATACAGTTAAGACACATTTGTAGACCTTAGAAATGACTTGAGAAACCCTTTATTTATTGAACAGGTTTATCTGGACAAACATTTGATAATCATCTAGGACAGGGCTCTCCAACCCTGTTCCTAGAGAACTACCATCCTGTAGGTTCACTTCAACCCTCATCTAGCACACCTGATTCTAATAATTAGCTGGTTGAAAAGCTGAATCAGGTTGGTTCCAACTGGGGTTGGAGTGAAAACCTACAGGAGGGTGAGCTCTCCAGGAACAGGGTTAGACTGCCCTGATCTAGGAGGTCATGAAGTGAAACTAGAGCACCCAACCAAAGAACTACAGACATTTTAGTCCAACATTTAATCAAATAGGTGAAGATATTGACATTGACTACAGAAGAGGGGTAATACAGCGGTAATACAAACTATTTTTTAAACAAATAGACAATGTATATTCTTTACATTTGGATTACATGTACAGAACTGAAATACAAACAAAACAGACCTTAATGAAAGCCATATACCAGTGAAATATGATCTGCCCTTAATCTTTAAAGATAATATTTGCATGTATTTTATACAAAAAATAGACTCTCTCAACCAGTAGGACGTTGAGATGAGGTAGTGAATCAACAAATAGTTGTAGATTTTTGCTGTTTGTGGTGCGTAGACCAAAATATCAATCTGAAATCAATGGGAAATGAGGCAGGTCAGTACTTAGTGTTTGCAGTGAAAGACTATCATTTCCTTTGTTTCACTGCAAAGACTGAGTACAGACCTACCTCATTTCCTATTCATTATGAAACGTGGGAGTGCAAATTCTCTGGTAGATTACTTTCACACACAGTTTTTACCTTTTTTAAAATGTATTTTTAAATGACTGGTTAATCCTCACAGCAATATACAAGAGACCAAAGCCTAGACCATTACAAAATATATTTTAAAATAGGTACTATAATTGGATAATAAGTGCTACTGTAAATGTAACTGGCTGCTTGAATACTTCTGTTCTCTGCTTTGGCAACTCCGTTGCACTATACAAAATATACTCCAGTCCTTCATCCCCTCCCAAAACCCATATTTTTAGATTTTCTAAAACAAAGTGGTCTTTCATATAATCTTTCCCATTGATTTATAGAATTTATATTTAGTCAGACAACATATTTTAACACTTTCTAAGTACATATGCAATACATTTATCTTTGTCAAACACAAACCAACAAACAGAAAAATAAAACAATTACCGTCTTACTCATCAAATGTACAAAAAGACAGTACAATTATTCATATCAAAGAGGATCAAACTGATATTCAAAATTACTGAAAATATTGTTGTTTTAAAATAAATCAATTTTCAAAAGCATTGACAGTTAAGTTTTCCTGAATTTAAACCCACATTTTTGTATGGCTCTCTGTCTCCCTTTCGCAAGGCCTTAAGTGAAACTTCAGTTTGAAAAAAAACTAATTAGTATAGGAATATACAGGTATTCTGTCAAAAGTTGTCATGAAACATGTATTAATCAACACTGCTTCAATTTCAGGGGATATGTTACCCTATGTACATCTACGGCAATGCAGTGATCATTAGGATATGATCAAGCTGGTTTGACCAATTGAAGACCAGAACAGAGACAGTCCACTAACACAATGTGAAAGTAAACCAAAATATGTCAATCTGCAGAGAGCAGCACCAGGGGATTCATCTCACGTGGTCATTCCATCAGTCTAACTGAAAGGATGACTACATGAAGTAGTTAGCCCACATGGCTGCCATTTTGTTTAACTAACCTGGCCTAATGATTACGAAGAAGGAGCTAAGAAGTGAGAATGAAACAATTCTGAGCGCAAGTAGCAAGCCTTTTAGCAATGTTTCTGCACTTGACTCCAAAAGCCATTTTACTTGTATGTCGTTTTATGGCTTTTACATGGCATAAGCTGATGTGTGTGGTGAGTACCTCAAATGAGAGAATGACTTCTAGCAGGGACGGGGGAACTCCCTTTTCACAGGGCAATGTGCTGGTCACCATACTTTGATAGCATTACAAAATACCATTGCAACTTCAAGAGTCTCAGAGTACAAGTATACAAAATGGCTTGAAAACATCTACATGTTCTTGTGAATAACAATCAATACTTGTATTCCTCATTAGCTGGTGTACTTAACATTTTTACCCAATAGTCTTTTTATAAATGAGCACCCTGAAGCATAGAATAATGGGAGGACAGAAAACAATGACAGTTCTGCTTTCTTTCCATTTCATATTATGAATAAAAATTAACAAAGAATATGCGGTTTGGCACTAGAATAATACATACAGGTGACTGTAAAAGGGGCCAAACTTAAGAGCTTGTGACATTTAACATAATTTGTTTGCAACTCCCAGAGAATAGTGACTGTGCGTATGCTCTCTAAAATTCTGCTTGACAGATCTTGAAAAATAGGGTTGTGACGATTTTGAAATAAATACATACGTTTTCATATCATATGAACAAACAAACTTGTTCAGGTCATTACTTTCTATCCTTTTCACTCACAGACACACAGATACTCACATATACTCACAGATACACACAGACAATCATATCATCATTAGCCACTGCTGCAAACCCCAATCCCATCTCCCTAGACCAACGCTGGCATTTTCATTTAGCTCGCAAATCAAGGACGGTGTTAATATGAAGTGAGTCCTCCCTTTAACATGAAGACTTAACCTATTACACCATACATGTTGATCTGATGTTTCACCTATAACAAATGTGAATCTTTTTTTTCTCCACTGTTGAATTTATGACGTTCTGTATGCGACATAAGCTCAGACATGGGCAGGAACCTATCATGATGACTGTAGGATAAATTATCCTTAAGAATCATTAATACCACAAAAAGCATTATTGATGCTTTTGAGTATAACAACTACTGAAAGGTTGCAGAGAATGAAATTGGACATTATGTTGGATTTCATTACCTTATGTAAGGAGCTCACTCTCGCTAGTTCACTTCTGGGGATCGTTGAGCTGCCCACTTGAGAAACGAAACATGGCTGCTAAGAGAACAGAAACTGGCAGTGTGAATAACAGATAGAAATGCATACAAAGGTGTTTATATTAGATTCCTATGCAAAATACTTGCTTTTGACAGTTTGAGAAGAATGGCTATAGAGAGCCTGCAAAGCTAAACAAAAAAAGGCACGTTTTCCCTTCTCTGATAATCTTGTGTAAAAAACAATGAGTGGTGTGTGCATGCATAAAATCTATTGAAAATATTCCTTTCTCTTTTCGTTTGTAAAATTTTATTCCTCCAATCTCACAATAATCAAGTGTTTTGAAGTGATTCACAGTCTAAACACGATTCCAGAAAAAGTACAGTCCTTGTTTGATTCAGAAGGGTCAGTCTAGTTTGTACCCTGTTGCTCACTCTCAAAGTGTCATTCTCACTCTCTTTTGGAAGTTCTCCCTCTCTCCCGGTGTCCTCTGGGGACCGATTCAGGTGCACACTCTCACTACATTAATCCATACTGGTGGGGGTCCTGGGTCATCTGCAGGGAAAACCGGCGGGGCTGGCTGGCGGGCGGGTGTGAGGGAGGGGAGGCTGGGATTTTAAGGCATTGTGTCATGGTTTAAGGCATGAAACAGAAGTGGCTTGACGCTCCCATCTTTGAATTTTGGTAACTGGTTGCTGATGATCTCGGCCAGCATCTCCGGGAACTCCACGCTCAGGGATTTATTCACAAATGTGTAGAAACAGATCTGCAGGAGGCCCCCCACTATCTGTGGAAACAACAGGGTATTTTTTTATAGTCGACTGCACATCATACATACTGGACCTCTGTAACAGGTTGATTTGTAGGTATGCTGACGAGTAGAAGAGCTGATAAGTATGTGTGTGTCTGTGTTGTGTATGAGCATACTCATTCATTTCATAGTATTTATTTAGGCAGGCTAGTCCGAGCAGTAACACTTGCCACTGTTTACCAGGAAGTCCTGGGTTCCATAAGTTCCTGGAAAACAGTGGCAAGTGTTGCTGAATGGTGTTGTGTTGCTGAATGGTGTTGTGTTGCTGTGGGAGCAGGCTGGGTTCAGCCTCAGCCTCACCTCCTGCATGGAGTCCAGTAGCTTAGTAAGTTGGTAGAACCTCTGCCAGTTCTGGCTGGAGTTCTCTTCCCGCTTGACAATGGCCTTCCCCAGCTCCTTGATGTAGGCCATGCGGATCTCATCAAACACAACCTGGCTCTTCAATCCATCCTTTGGTACTGTAGGCACAAGTGAAGGAGGGCAGGAGGGAGGGAGTAAAACAGGCATAAACAACCTCTTACTCATCATGTAATTAAGGCAGTGTACGTCACAGTCATTATAAAAAGCTTGGGATGTCAAGGACACAACCTCATTCAGTCTACCAACATTCACGCTAGACAATCTGACCTTCAGTTAGGCTAGGCCAGGAAGGAGTCTCTTTTGACCCAGAGAGTCTCCTAGTCTGAACACTGCCCATTATCCTGGCACTACGATCTCATACACACCACCCTCCCGTCCCGTCCCAACCACACTTAGGTCAATGGAAAATATGCAAAACCACAGGTAACATCAATGGGTTTTATGCTGTCCCATTCTTCCCTGATGAGAGCCAGATGAAGGACGTACCCTGGACTGAAGGCTTCTGGGATCTTGGACTGGGGCCCAGGCAAAACCGCACTCAATGGACAAGATATTATGCAAAACAACATAGGAGGGAAATTGTAAAATACTCTCCAATTGTCTTATCAGATGAGAGATACAAATTGGCTTGCCCCTGGTATACACTTTTTGGTTTGGATATATTGAGGTCCCTTTTCAAACATACAAGAGAAGTATATTATGCCTCTCCAGCGCAGAATAACTGACAAATCACTATTTTGATTTGAGAGAGCTACAATATGGCGTCATCCTCCAGCTAATAGCCTTCACCTACGTTTTCGAACTAATTAAAGATGCATTGAAGTAGCAGGCAATACTAACAGGAGATATGTCTATAGATGGGTAGTTACACTTCTCAAAAGTCACCAAATTGGTGTAACTTGGTCAGATTTTGGGGGGGATTTCACCAAAGTTTTAGATTGTATCGATTTAAACAAAAACTACATTGTACAACGCTCCACAATATGTACAGTGAGGGAAAAAAGTATTTGATCCCCTGCTGATTTTGTACGTTTGCCCACTGACAAAGACATGATCAGTCTATAATTTTAATGGTAGGTTTATTTGAACAGTGAGAGACGGAATAACAACAACAACATCCAGAAAAACGCATGTCAAAAATGTTATGAATTGATTTGCATTTTAATGAGGGAAATAAGTATTTGATCCCTCTGCAAAACATGACGTAGTACTTGGTGGCAAAACCCTTGTTGGCAATCACAGAGGTCAGACATTTCTTGAAGTTGGCCACCAGGTTTGCACACATCTCAGGAGGGATTTTGTCCCACTCCTCTTTGCAGATCTTCTCTAAGTCATTAAGGTTTCGAGGCTGATGTTTGGCAACTCGAACCTTCAGCTCCCTCCACATATTTTCTATGGGATTAAGGTCTGGAGACTGGCTAGGCCACTCCAGGACCTTAATGTGCTTCTTCTTGAGCCACTCCTTTGTTGCCATGGCCGTGTGTTTTGGGTCATTGTCATGCTGGAATACCCATCCACGACCCATTTTCAATGCCCTGGCTGAGGGAAGGATGTTCTCACCCAAGATTTAACGGTACATGGCCCCGTCCATCGTCCCTTTGATGCGGTGAAGTTGTCCTGTCCCCTTAGCAGAAAAACACCCCCAAAGCATAATGTTTCCACCTCCATGTTTGACGGTGGGGATGGTGTTCTTGGGGTCATAGGCAGCATTCCTCCTCCTCCAAACACGGCAAGTTGAGTTGATGCCAAAGAGCTCGATTTTGGTCTCATCTGACCACAACACTTTCACCCAGTTCTCCTCTGAATCATTCAGATGTTTATTGGCAAACTTCAGATGTGCTTTCTTAAGCAGGGGGACCTTGCGGGCGCTGCAGGATTTCAGTCCTTCACGGCGTAGTGTGTTACCAATTGTTTTCTTGATGACTATGGTCCCAGCTGCCTTGAGATCATTGACAAGATCCTCCCGTGTAGTTCTGGGCTGATTCCTCACCGTTCTCATGATCATTGCAACTCCACGAGGTGAGATCTTGCATGGAGCCCCAGGCCGAGGGAGATTGACAGGTCTTTTTTGTTTCTTCCATTTGCGAATAATCGCACCAACTGTTGTCACCTTCTCACCAAGCTGCTTGGCGATGGTCTTGTAGCCCATTCCAGCCTTGTGTAGGTCTACAATCTTGTCCCTGACATCCTTGGAGAGCTCTTTGGTCTTGGCCATGGTGGAGAGTTTGGAATCTGATTGATTGATTGCTTCTGTGGACAGGTGTCTTTTATACAGGTAACAAGCTGATTAGGAGCACTCCCTTTAAGAGTGTGCTCCTAATCTCAGCTTGTTACCTGTATAAAAGACACCTGGGAGCCAGAAATCTTTCTGATTGAGAGGGGGTCAAATACTTATTTCCCTCATTAAAATGCAAATCAATTTATAAAAATTTTGACATGCGTTTTTCTGGATTTTTTTGTTGTTATTCTGTCTCTCACTGTTCAAATAAACCTACCATTAAAATTATAGACTGATCATTTCTTTGTCAGCGGGCAAACGTACAAAATCAGCAGGGGATCAAATACTTTTTCCCCCTCACTGTATATACAGTGGGGAGAACAAGTATTTGATACACTGCCGATTTTGCAGGTTTTCCTACTTACAAAGCATGTAGAGGTCTGTAATGTTTATCATAGGTACACTTCAACTGTGAGAGACGGAATCTAAAACAAAAATCCAGAAAATCACATTGTATGATTTTTAAGTAATTAATTTGCATTTTATTGCATGACATAAGTATTTGATCACCTACCAACCAGTAAGAATTCCGACTCTCACAGACCTGTTAGTTTTTCTTTAAGAAGCCCTCCTGTTCTCCACTCATTACCTGTATAAAAGACACCTGTCCACACACTCAATCAAACAGACTCCAACCTCTCCACAATGGCCAAGACCAGAGAGCTGTGTAAGGACATCAGGGATACAATTGTAGACCTGCACAAGGCTGGGATGGGCTACAGGACAATAGGCAAGCAGCTTGGTGAGAAGGCAACAACTGTTGGCGCAATTATTCGGAAATGGAAGATGTTCAAGATAATGGTCAATCACCCTCGGTCTGGGGCTCCATGCAAGATCTCACCTCGTGGGGCATCAATGATCATGAGGAAGATGAGAGATCAGCCCAGAACTACACGGCAGGACCTGGTCAATGACCTGAAGAGAGCTGGGACCACAGTTTCAAAGAAAACCATTAGTAACACACTACGCCGTCATGGATTAAAATCCTGCAGCGCACGCAAGGTCCCCCTGCTCAAGCCAGCGCATGTCCAGGCCCGTCTGAAGTTTACCAATGACCATCTGGATGATCCAGAGGAGGAATGGGAGAAGGTCATGTGGTCAGATGAGACAAAAATAGAGCTTTTTGGTCTAAACTCCACTCGCCGTGTTTGGAGGAAGAAGAAGGATGAGTACAACCCCAAGAACACCATCCCAACCGTGAAGCATGGAGGTTGAAACATCATTCTTTGGGGATGCTTTTCTGCAAAGGGGACAGGACGACTGCACCGTATTGAGGGGAGGATGGATGGGGCCATGTATCGCAAGATCTTGGCCAACAACCGCCTTCCCTCAGTAAGAGCATTGACGATGGGTCGTGGCTGGGTCTTCCAGCATGACAACGACCCGAAACACACAGCCAGGGCAACTAAGGAGTGGCTCCGTAAGAAGCATCTCAAGGTCCTGGAGTGGCCTAGCCAGTCTCCAGACCTGAACCCAATAGAAAATCTTTGGAGGGAGCTGAAAGTCCGTATTGCCCAGCGACAGCCCCGAAACCTGAAGGATCTGGAGAAGGTCTGTATGGAGGAGTGGGCCAAAATCTCTGCTGCAGTGTGTGCAAACCTGGTCAAGACCTACAGAAAACGTATGATCTCTGTAATTGCAAACAAAGGTTTCTGTACCAAATATTAAGTTCTGCTTTTCTGATGTATCAAATACTTATGTCATGCAATAAAATGCAAATTAATTACTTAAAAATCATACAATGTTATTTTCTGGATTTTTTTTTAGATTCCGTCTCTCACAGTTGAAGTGTACCTATGATAACAATTACAGACCTCTACATGCTTTGTAAGTAGGAAAACCTGCAAAATCGGCAGTGTATCAAATACTTGTTCTCCCCACTGTATAATATACGGCTCTATAGGGGATAGTTAGCGGCGTTATGGTGCATTCGGCCCTCCAACCAGAGTATGTGAGCGGAGCGAGGAGTGTGCCCAATTTGACTGAAGCGCGGAGTGAGATTCCCAAATGCTTGAGCATCGGCCTTCTCGCCCTCTCCAATAGTGCTCCAGTAGCGCTCACTTCACGAGTTCAGGGCATGCCGTCCCAGCATGCATTTGTAGTCTACTTGTGTGCTGCTATAGCCCCTTGCTTTAGCTACTGTCATGGAGTTCACTAAATATTTTCATAAAGAAACTGATAAAACACACAGGTGCTAAATCAAGGTGACTTCCAAAGATGAGGACCAAGAGCAAGAGAGAGAGTGAGTGCAGTGATGTAGTGTCTACAACTAAAGAATCATTGTGGAATCTGAAAAGACACATATCCCGAAAGCATGATGGTGTACTTATACGTGCACATGCTAAAGGAAAGGTACGAGGCGGGTAACTAATTAAGTGTGTCATTGTGGCAAAGTATTTATAAACTGAAAATCAAATATCTTAAAAGTTTCCTTAATTTTTGTTCTATTATCTATACAATTTGCCATAATTGATTTTGGTCCAATAGGCCTGGGGCATATTCCCACTTTCAAGGAGCTTTACGTTTTGATTGGGTTATTTTGCCTAAAAACCCTTAGGCCTACATTTAGAAAAATGAATAGAAAAAAAACTCTGCATCCCTGCCCAGCCTGGCAAGAGTGGCCAAAAGGGTGTTTAGCATCCCCAGTGTCTGCAAGCGTGGAGAGGATATTCTCCGCTGCTGGCCTGCTCTCCAGGCACCATCGCATGAGCCTAATGCCACAGACTCTGGTCAAACTGGTGTTTTTAAAAATGAATTCAAAAGGCACCGTAGACTGAGCCTAATAAGGCATTTTTCGTTTAATTTGTATTTCATTCTAAGTAAGTCACAGCCTACAGTATCAGTCAAACGTTTGGACACACCTACTCATTCAAGGGTTTTTCTTTATTTTTTACTATTTTCTACATTGTAGAAAAATAGTGAAGACATCAAAACTATGAAATAACACATATGGAATCATGTAGTAACCAAAAAAGTGTTAAACAAATCAAAATAGAATTTATATTTGAGATTCTTCAAATAGCCACCCTTTGCCTTGATGACATCTTTGCACACTCTTGGCATTCTCTCAACCAGCTCCATGAGGTAGTCACCTGGAATGCATTTCAATTAACAGGTGTGCCTTCTTAATGCGTTTGAGCCAATCAGTTGTGTTGTGACAAGGTAGGGGGTGTATACAGAAGATAGCCCTATTTGGTAAAAGACCAAGTCCATATTATGGCAAGAACAGCGCAAATATGCAAAGAGAAACAACAGTCCATCAAATGCTTCACAACATGTTTCTTTGTAGGCTATAGCCTTGAAATAATATAAATAATATAGCCTAAATCATTCATTTTCCTTCTTAGGCTCCCTGTCTGGCTCCTGACCTATTTAGAGTGTTTATATGCTGTTTAATAAGACATGTAGTCTATTTGAAATGATGAACGCTTCTTACATTCACCTTTTCATGTTCATTATAATACTTTTCATTCAAATCATATGGTTTGGTTTGAATACTTCAAAATCAAATGGTAGGTCCAGGTAGCCACAAAAATGGATGGGTGTTGGTTAAATTGTGATTTTAATGAATGGAGCGAATTTGGAGCGAAGAGCAGATTTTAGCGGAAGGAAAAGGACGTGGATCGCCGGAGCGGTGCACAAGCACCGCTCCATGAGCCGGATTTCCGTCCGCTCAACTCCGCTCACATACTCAGCCTCCAACTGGTAATTACTAGTTAAATCAGCCATGAATCCTTGTGACGGGGGGAATGGAAGCTTGTTGTGCGAAACAAAATTGCTTTAATTGTTAAAACATTTCTAGCCTGTCTAACTATGGTTAACAGGGTTGACGTGTTTTTCTCAACCAACTCAGTTTTCCACCACAAAACACCAGAAAATGGCCAAAAAGAGTAGAACCAGCTCAACTGCTTTTACTCTATGATTTGACTATTAGATGTTCAATGTTTCTTTAGAATGTATTTAAGGACAATAGTTTCACCATATTAAAACGAGAGTTCAGATCACCTCACAGGGTTTACCTTAAAATTAGGGACAGATCACAAAATCACATTTTACAATAGCTAGGTTCCATTCAATTGGCGACAGATTTTCATGCAACATTTCTGTGACAACCTGGACCTACCATTTGACGGAAACGTGGTTACTGATGGTGAAAATTTAGGAGACATTTTGGGATTAAGTGCGTTAAAATCTTCCTAGAAGACACAAATGGTGCATGGAGGGACATGTCAAAGTGCTGACTATTTTAAATGAAAAATGTATTCAATATTGTTTCACAATTTCTACTTAAAATAGCAAAGGGACACAAAAAAGGAACAACCTATTTGTGGAACGACCCAGGTCTATAAAAGCAGGCAATATGTCTACATGAATCAAAAATTGTCACCTTGTGTATTTCCTTGACATTTCCAGTTTCAATTATGTGGATATCATTATTGATGACCCAATAAAAATAAAATGTGAAAATGTCTGTCGGGACTGTGTGAGAAACAAATTCAAGGAAGATTGCTCACTGGTTTAATAAAAGCACAGCTCTGCATGTAAATGTAATTTTAATTTCCTTAAGAAGCAATCAAAAGACAAGTGTGTGCTCCTTTCAAAACCACTCACTGAGTAATTTGAAAGCCTTAAAAGCAGTCATTCTAAGTCAACAACACTGCAATAAGCAGTGCCTTCTGCTTAAATATGATTTGGTAATGGCTTGTCATGCTGGGATTTTTTTTTCTCCCTGAGGCCTCATTTGTACAAAGCTAATTCAAAAGCTGAAGCTTCAGTTGTCTGTCTGGATTCCCTCCTCTTCTGTACTTTGAGACATCAAAACATTTGTTCTGCTTTTCCCCAGCCTGTTCCCTTCAAACTGTGTTGGACTGGCATAATGAATAACTGTTTAAATCTACAGGGGGTCAGCTCCCGCTCAGCCCAGTCCAGTTCTTCTCTATCCTGGCACCCCAAGGGTGGAACAAGCTTCCCCCTAACGTCAGGACAGCGAGTCCCTACCCATCTTCTGAAAACGTCTGAAACCCTACCTCTTCAAAGAGTATCTTAAATAAATCCCACAGCATGTGGTTGTCTCAACTAGCCATCTTAAGATGAATGCATTAATTTGAAGTCGCTCTGGATAAGAGCATCTGCTAACTGACTAAAAAATTTAAAATGATTCATGTTATATTTTTACGTTATACTTTTACAAATATGACAAAAACAACGAAAAACATTGTATACAAATCATACTGTATAACTAAGAATGACTGTAAATGTGGTACTGTACCTGTACTGAGCAGCAGCAGGACTTTCATACACAGGTACTCGTCGTAGGACACCTGCAGCCTCACAAACTCAGTGGAGATCTTCAGCATCTGCTCACACTGGTCAGTCATGTAGGGCAACTTCATCCTCTCACTGAGACACACACACACACTTATAATCAACACCTATTTCCATCTGCAATCCACATAGTGTAATGACCGTTCCGCCTATGATACAGCTGGAGAAACAGAGCGTTGTGAATCTGGGCTGTGAAATCAGCCCTTATTGGATGGACAGGATCTCCCACCTCTTCACGTTGTCCAGGATATACAGCTGTGGAAAAAAAATCAGCATCTCTACATGTATGACAGCCATTCCATTCCAGTGTCTGTTGAATTCCAACACAGGCACACCTCATTCTACTGAATTAGGTACTGATTAGGTGATCAACTGAACCAAATCTTATTTAACGAGGAAAAGTATAAAAACCACTGCTGTGGTCATCACTATCCTCTTGCAATAGGACCAGCTGGATGGCAAAAACAGTGCTAATAGTACCTCAAAAGTAATATTAATCAGAAAAGAACTATTGACCATGCCAAAAGAGTTGAAAAGGAATGTTTTGAGTGAGGAAATGAAGGGTTCAATTCTGGCTTTACTGGCAGAGGGATACAGTGAGCGTCAGGTTGCTTCCATCCTTAAAATTTCAAAGACGGCGGTTCATAAGAACAAGGTCAAGCAGCAGACATTGGGGACAACAACTCTCTACTGACCGGGATGACCGCCAATTCATTCGAATGTCACTCAACAACCGTAGGATGACATCAAGTGACCTACAAAAAGAATGGCAAAGGGCAGCTGGGGTGAAGTGCACGGCGAGGACGGTTTGAAACAGGCTCCTAGGGGCAGGGCTGAAGTCGTGCAAAGCTAGAAAAAATCCCTTCATCAATGAGAAGCAAAGAAGAGCCAGACTGAGGTTTGCAAAAGACCGTAAGGATTGGCCCTAGAGGAGTGGAGTAAGGTCATCTTCTCTGATGAGTCCAATTTTCAGCTTTGCCCAACACCTGGTCGTCTAATGGTTAGACAGAGACCTGGAGAGACCTACAAGCAACAGTGTCTCGCACCCACTGTGAAATTTGGTGGAGGATCAGTGATGCATCTGGGGGTGCTTCAGCAAGGCTGGAATCGGGCAGGTTTGTCTTTGTGAAGGACGCATGAATCAAGCCACGTACAAGGTTGTCCTGGAAGAAAACTTGCTTCCTTTTGCTATGACATTGTTCCCCAACTCTGAGGATTGGTTTTTCCAGCAGGACAGTGCGCCATGCCACACAGCCAGGTCAATCAAGGTGTGGATGGAGGACCACCAGATCAAGACCCTGTCATGGCCAGCCCAATCTCCAGACCTGAACCCCATTGAAAACGTCAAGAATGTGATCAAGAGGAAGATGGATGATCACAAGCCATCAAACAAAGCCGAGCTGCTTGAATTTTTGCGCCAGGAGTGGCATAAAGTCACCCAACATCAATGTGAAAGACTGGTGGCGAGCATGCCAAGACGCATGAAAGCTGTGATTGAAAATCAGGGTTATTCCACCAAATATTGATTTCTGAACTCTTCCTAAGTTAAAACATTACTAATGCATTGTTTAAAAATGAACATTAACTTATTTTCTTTGCATTATTCGAGGTCTGACAACACTGCATCTTTTTTGTTATTTTGACAAGTTTGACAAGCAAATAAATGCTCTAAATGACAATATTTTTATTTGGAATTTGGGAGAAATGTTGTCAGTAGTTTATAGAATAAAACAAAAATGTTATTTTTACCCAAACACATACCTATAAATAGTAAAACCGGAGAAACAGATAATTTTGCAGTGGACTCTTAATTTTTTCCGCAGCGGTATTTGCATCCATTTTTCATTCCATCAATCCATATCATAGAGAGGCTCTGGTTTAAACTAGTGATCCATAGAAATCCACCTACCTTTCTCAGCTCCAGATCCCCCAGCCAGCTACAGCCCTCCTAGGTGTATCCCTGCCCCCTCTCAATCTCTGACCCCTCTCAATCTCTGACCCCTTTCAATCTCTGACCCCTCTCAATCTCTGACCCTCTGGACTTACTCATTAATAACCAGGTCAGGGGCGAAGCACAACATTCCCCCGTTACACTGCTGGTAGGAGCGCCAGCCCAGGCCGAAGGACATGAGGAACAGCCAGGAGCACTGCAGCAGGGTCATCTGGTCGTCCAGGTGAAGGTTCCGGAACCCTGCACAAAACAGACAACAGACAGAGCATTGGTCAGTCAGGATTGCAGTGTTGTTAGTGCTGGTCTATTGAGTGAGCTACAGTTGAAGTCGGAAGTTTACATACAGTTAGGTTAGAGTCATTAAAACTCGTTATTCAACCACTCCACACATTTCTTGTTAACAAACTGTAGTTTTGGCAAGTCGGTTAGGACATCTACTTTGTGCATGACAAGTAATCTTTCCAACAATTTTTGGAAATTATTTCACTTATAATTCACTGTATCACAATTCCAGTGGGTCAGAAGTTTACATGCACTAAGTTGACTGTGACTATAAACAGCTTGGAAAATTCCAGAAAATGATGTCATGGCTTTAGAAGCTTCTGATAGGCTAATTGACATCATTGGAGTCAATTGGAGGTGTACCTGTGGATGTATTTCAAGGCCTACCTTCAAACTCAGTGCCTCTTTGCTTGACATCATGGGAAAATCAAAATAAATCAAACCTCAGAAAAATAATTGTAGAACTCCACAAGTCTGGTCATCCTTGGGAGCAATTCCCATACACCTGAAGGTACCACGTTCATCTGTACAAACAAACGTTCATCTGTACAAACCATGGGACCACGCAGCCGTCATACCGCTCAGGAAGGAGACGCGTTCCTAGAGATGAACGTACTTTGGTACGAAAAGTGCAAATCAATCCCAGAACAGCAGCAAAGGACCTTGTGAAGATGCTGGAGGAAACAGGTACAAAAGTATCTATATCCACAGTAAAACGAGTCCTATATTGACATAACCTGAAAGGACATTCAGCAAGGAAGAAGCCACTGCTCCAAAACCACCATTAAAAAGCCAGACTACGGTTTGCAACTGCACATGGGGACAAAGATCTTACTTTTTGGAGAAATGTCCTCCGGTCTGATGAAACAAAAATAGAACTGTTTGGCCATAATGACCATCGTTATGTTTGGAGGAAAAAGGGGTAGGCTTGAAAGCCGAAGAACACCATCCCAACCGTGAAGCACGGGGGTGGCAGCATCATGCTGTGGGGGTGCTTTGCTGCAGGAGGGACTGGTGCACTTCACAAAATGGATGGCATCATGAGGAAGGAAAATTATGTGGATATATTGAAGCAACATCTCAAGACATCAGTCAGGAAGTTAAAGCTTGGTCGCAAATGGGTCTTCCAAATGGACAATGACCCCAAGCATACTTCCAAAGTTGTGGCAAAATGGCTTAAGGACAACAAAGTCAAGGTATTGGAGTGGCCATCACAAAGCCCTGACCTCAATCCTATAGAACATTTTATTATTATTATTATTATTTGTGGGCAGAACTGAAAAGGCGTGTGCGAGCAAGGAGGCCAACAAACCTGACTCAGTTACACCAGCTCTGTCAGGAGGAATGGGCCAAAATTCACCCAACTTATTGTGGGAAGCTTGTGGAAGGCTACCCGAAACGTTTGACCCAAGTTAAACAATTTAAAAGGCAATGCTACCAAATACTAATTGAGTGTATGTAAACTTCTGACACACTGGGAATGTGATTAAATAAATAAAAGCTGAAATAAATCATTCTCTCTACTATTATTCTGACATTTCACATTTTTAAAATAAAGTGGTGATCCTAACTGACCTAAGACAGGGAATTTTTACTAGGATTAAATGTCAGGAATTGTGAAAAACTGAGTTTAAATGTATTTGGCTAAGGTGTATCTAAACTTCCGACTTCAACTGTATATGGAGACTGTTTAGTACCAAAAATAAGGGGTTAAATACATGTAAAACATTTTTTATCTCTCTCAGATATAGGACAGACACTTCAGAACAAAGTTCCTTTAGATTTTTTGGGGGACTATGTGTTGTTCCATGTAGTGAATCTGTTATTCAATACGTTTGTATGGGCTAATAGCAGTAAGGCCAAATAAAATGTTTTATCTATTTGCATACTTCAAAATTCAAAATCAAATAGCAAAATGATCCTTGGTATGACCTTCTTAAAACAAATTCTATATAGCTTAGTAGAACCCCCCCCCCCCCCCCCCATCTTAGACAGGGATTAGACTGTTATGCGTTAAATCAATGTTAAAAGTGACCTTTAATTGCAGTTCAATCATCTCTCATTGTTGAGACTTCAAAAGTGTTGAAGGTCCATTCAGATCATATTTGCTTAACCATGCAGTGGTTGTGTAAGATTTCTCCACGAGTTCTTCCATTCCAGGCCAGTTGGCCGCTGGGAGAGACCGAGGAGCAGAGTAAATATTTGTGGCGATTACCAAACCATGCACCCTCTTTCTTATGATTAGAGGCTGGGGGGTCAACTCAATTCCATTCCACGATCAATAAAATGGAAATTCATGAGATTAATTAAAAATATCCTCATTAATTTGCAAGCCACTGGATTTACATGTAGGCCTGGTTCATTTCCTGAATTAACTCGAGTTGAAATGGAATGGACCAAGCCTAGCCCATAATGACGGCTAGTCATATTTGTGCGGTCTGCGGTCACAGTGTTAATGGAGGTTTACCAATGTGGTCTCACCTGGTAGGGACTTGGCCCACTTGACGGCTGAGACAACCTGCTGTCCGCCCAGCCTGTTGAGGGTGGTCATGAGGCGGGTGGAGGTGTCGGGAATGGTGCTGTCGTAACCAGAGTAAATAGCCTCGGGCTCGATGGCTTTGAGCAGGGACAACATGGTGGGCACCAGCTGGGGCATGGACTTGGGGATCAGGGCGCAGGCCCTCTCGTCAGGTGGGGGAGGGCTCGGCTCCATTGTGGTCTGCTGACCTTTTAATCGGATCAGCTTCTTGTTTTTCCTCGCTGCGAAGAGAGAGAGAGAAGAAAAGAGCTGATCAGTAATTATCCTCCCTGTTAACTATCGTATCCCACTCGACCCAGGTGGTGACAGTGTATAGACCACATAGACACCTTGCCTTGTGTATTCATAACAACAATATGCAGCCTATAGGCTACAGTGTACTCATAACATAAAGGTCAGTCATCCACATTGTGTTACGCCTCAAAAGGTTTTATTAATTGAAAGAGACTTACTTTCTTGTGTATTTCTATGGGTCTTTATTTAAAAAAGAGCAACATAACACGAGAAGAACACAAAATGTATTTTGGACTTGGTGAAAAACTGTTCCATCAATTTTGCTATTCTGTTATAATATGTGCTGCTTGGCTCCGGATGAGAGGGTTACCATCAACAAAAACATCTCAGTCTTCTCGCTCCTTTTTTAATTTCCTCCATACATGTTTCTATGGCAACTAAGAGCCATTCTGGTATGACCTAAGGTTTTGGTTGTCTGCTGATGCACCCGCGTCCATCAAGGTTTTTTCCCTCTCTGATTCATACAAATAAATCAACAATTTAATACCCTGCAGCACTGTGAGAATGAACATATATATATAAATAGCATGAAGTGCATTAATGTGAATTATCGTCATGTCCATTCCCGCAGAGTGCTGCCTCTTTCTTAATGGCATATTTTCCTTCTCTCTATACCATTTAGGCCCTATCCCCTAAAAATACAAACAGAGCTGATGTGAGCCTTGTAACTATCTTTCTATGGCTAAGGGACATGGGAGGAACTGGGTCTGACTGAATGATTGTTGTTCATCAATGGCTCTGACCCTTGTTAAACACTGGTCCAGAGAGAAACCACTTGCTAATGTCAACATAAACCGCGGGAATTAAGGCCCACTACTGCCTTAAGTGAATCCAAGAGTTAATCCTACTCCTAATCACAATCGCTATAGGGGACAAAACATAAAGCCCTGCCTTACACAGACAATATGCTGAAAATTACCACTGATGAACCTTTGCCGGATGACTATGTTTGCCAAAAGACTGTAATAGTGTATACTACCAGTCCACTGATATGAGGACAATATGAATGTGTGTTGGTAACACTCTTACCTTCCAGATTCATCCCTGCTTGGAGACACTTGCGGAAGCGGCATGCCGGGCAGTTCTTCCTGCGGATCTTGTCTATGATGCAGTCGTTCCTCCCAGCACACAGATAGTTGTGTTGTCCTGGGGATGGAGGAACAAGGTAATTAAAACAACACATTTCACTGCACCTATCCGGTGTATGTGACAGCAAAAGGGTCTAGGCCAAGCACTGCGGGTTGCCGCCACACCAAACACCTGTTTGGGTAAACCTGCCAGCCTCATGACATAACCTTACGGTGAATTAAGGTGACAGCTCGTTCACTTTCTGAGGTTAACACCCCTCCACGGACCGGCAAAATAGTAGCCTAAGCTTTTTAAAAACAGAGATAAAGAGATTATGTTATTATTTTTATAGACTGTCCCTATGCTGTGTGTGTAATGCTGTTGATAGCGTGGATTGAGTTGGCCTAGTTGTTTTGAAGACGAGAGGGGGAAAAAAATATTGCTTGTATGACAGAGCATGGAGAATGTCAGCTGAACAAAATCTTCAGCCAGATCAACTCATGCTCTACGGTAGATCTTAAGAGGCCATGCTCATGATTAATTAGTTTAATAAAAGCAACAAATAGGCCTACCCAACTGTATTTACATCAGCAATCTCATACAAAACAAATCTGTTTTAAAAGGACCTAGTACATCTACCGATAACATTTTTAATACCAACTAATAAATATGATAATTAATGAGATCAAATGCCACACTTTCTACTGATGTGATATAGTTTTTTTGTTTGATCTACAGTCAGGGCATTTAAGTAAAAGTTTGTTAAATAGGTTAATATATTGCTCTGATGTTTTACAGTACCCCAACAAATTATTAACCACAGAGCAACGTAGCCAAAGCGCTGCAGAACAATGCCAACCTGGAACCTGTAACATCAAATCACAGCTAACCGTAATGCAGTGGGTAGTCATGGCAGCAACAGCCAAGGCAAAGACCAGAGCAAACAACCATCCATAAACTAAACTGTGCCAGCTGAATGCCCAGAAGCATCCGCTCTCTAATCCCATTTTCAAACTGTAGGCTAGTGAGGAGGACTTGGCTGGTGGTAGACGCTAGGCTAGCCCTGGTTGGCAGGCTTCCTCCAGTCCTGCTGAGAAAACATGGTCAGGCTACAGGGATACAGAGTGAGATGGAGGAGGAGGAGGGGGGGGGGGGGGGGGGCACGGGCACTCTTTGGTTGGAGGGTGACGTCACTAGCCAATAGCCATCCAAACATGACTAGGGTGTCCTCTTAGTAACAGCGAGAGAGCGAGTGAGTGATTTGGGTCATGTGACATGTTGACAGGTAATGGTGATTTGTGTATCATAACCGACCGCTGCGGTGCTTGCTCCTCCAGCTCTGCCTCAAACACGCGTCCCAAATGGCACCTTACTGTATTCCCTATATAGTGCACTATAAAGAGAGGAATAGGGTGCCATTTGACACGAAGACTCAGCAGGCTTGAAAAGGTACACAAGGCGGCCTACATCTCACCGAGTGTGGAGGGAACGGCAGATAAGTATACATACTACTTGTATCATCCCTTCCAAGGCACTACACTGAATTCACAGGTCTTTCCCTTGAAAGCCTAACATGCTGCGAGAATCCCAGTGGCATCTTTATACACAACAACATGCTATGCTGAACATTTATTATATTTGTTGGTATGATTGACATACCAACAAACATTGTATTGTCACAAATATACAAAATAAGCGTATTTCCGTTCTAGTGTTCTATCCATCACAGGGCAATAGAGAGGTTCACTAAACTGCACGGTTAGTTATTCTGAAAAATGGGTAAAAGACCAAGTCCATATTATGGCAAGAACAGCTCAAATAAGCAAAGAGAAACGACAGTCCATCATTACTTTAAGACATGAAGCTTAGTCAACACGGAACATTTTAAGAACTTTGAATGTTTCCTCAAGTGCAGTCGCAAAAACCATCAAGCGCTATGATGAAACTGGCTCTCATTAGGACCACCACAGGAATGCAAGACCCAGAGTTACCAGCCTCAGAAATTGCAACCCAAATAAATGCTTCAGAGTTCAAGTAACAGACAAATCTCAACATCAACTGTTCAGAGGGGACTGTATGAATCAGGCCTTCGTGGTCGAATTGCTGCAAATAAACCACTACTAAAGGACACCAATAAGAAGAAGAGACCTGCTTGGGCCAAGAAACACGAGCAATGGGCATTAGACCGGTGGAAATTTGTCCTTTGGTCTGGAGTCCAAATTGGAGATTTTTGGTTCAAACCGTTTGATTATCTCCGCATGTGTAGTTCCCATCGTACAGCATGGAGGAGGAGGTGTTATGGTGTGGGGGTGCTTTGCTGGTGACACTGTCTGTGATTTTATTTAGAATTCAAGGCACACTTAACCAGCATGACTACCACAGCATTCTGCAGTGATACGCCATCCCATCTGGTTTGGGCTTAGTGGGATCATCATTTGTTTTTCAACAGGACAATGACCCAACACACCTCCAGGCTGTGTAAGGGCTATTTTACCAAGAAGGAGAGTGATGGAGTGCTGCATCAGATGACCTGGCCTCCACAATCCCCCGACCTCAACCCAATTGAGATGGTTTGGGATGAGTCGGATTGCAGAGTGAAGGAAAAGCAGCCAACAAGTGCTCAGCATATGTGGGAACTCCTTCAAGACTGTTGGAAAAGCATTCCAGGTGAAGCTGGTTGAGAGAATGCCAAGAGTGTGCTAAGCTGTCATCAAGGCAAAGGGTGGCTATTTGAAGAATCTCAAATATAAAATATATTTTGATTTGTTTAACACTTTGTTGGTTACTACATGATTCCATATGTGTTATTTCATAGTTTTGATGTCTTCACTATTATTCTACAATGTAAAAAATAGTAAAAATAAAGAAACACCCTTGAATGAGTAGGTGTGTCCCAACTTTTGATTGGTACTGTGTATATATATATATATATATATATATATATATATATATATATATATATATATATATATATATATATATATATATATTAAAAAAACACAGGAAAATCACATTGACTGCACTGGGCCTTTAATGAACTATATTAGCTAAGTGATGATAGAGCCACATTCCAAGCAGGAATTTAAAACAGAATTTAAAACCAAAATACATTATGAATCATCAAATCACAAACACATGCATTGAGAAGGGTACACGAGAGACTGTGCATGTTCAATCTTGCATATCAGGTCAGATTTCCAGTACAGTGCTTGAGGGACATGGATAAAGCATAAGCGTTATTAAAAGGTGGGTTTATTTACCATCTGTGTTTTGTCGTGCTCTCCATCCTTCACCATAGCGACAACAACCGTAGAATGGGGGAAGAAAGATCAAAATAACAGATATGACGTCTTCTTGCTGAAAGTACTGCTCAATTGAAGTATCAAAAAAGTAAAATATTATTTTACTTGGTCATTTATACCAGTAAAGTTGAAATAACGTATACAATATGTAACAATTATCCTTTAAACTAAAATATTGTATTTCACTCAGAGTAATATCTGTTATTTTTGTATTTAAACTCAGGGTTTTAATTTTACAATAAACATATACAGTAGCTATATCTCCATTCTTTGAATACAAAATACTAATGTATGCACTTTCATGTGAATTAAATAGTAACACTGTGAATTAAATAGTTGTGTTACAAACTATGTAAATACACCTCAAAATGAATACCTATTCAGACTGCCCTGAACAATGATAACGTTCACGGCTGCTCCATTCTATTCACAGGGAGTAACAGTAGCATAGCAGCCCACTTGTCAAGCATTCAGAGCAATTAAATGGACTTACATTTTAGTCATTTAGCAAACGCTCTTATCCAGAGCGACTTACAGGAGCAATTAGGGTTAAGTGCCTTGCTCAAGGGCACATCAACAGATTTTTCACCTAGTCGGCTCGGGGATTAGAACCAGCGACCTTTCGATTACTGGCACAACGCTCTTAACCACTAAGCTACCTGCCGCCCCAGGACTTCAAAGGAGGTCCTAGTGAATGGTTACATTGACTGTGGTAGTGAGCTTGGAATAAGACAAAATGTAGTCTACGTTAAGTGAAAATTGTTAAAGTAACAAACCGATATAGGCTACAAGTCCCAAACACACACATACAGTGCATTCAGAAAGTATTCAGACCCCTTGACATCTCTCCCATATGAAACAGGAGAGAAGATCTCATGTAACTCTAATGACCAACAGTCTTTTGGACAGGCTGTTCATAGGTATAGGATGCAAACGATTGGTTGGACACAAAAATAGCAGCATAGACACTACAGCCTGATAGAAAACCATGAGACACTAGCCTACTCCGACCTGGTGTAATAGAAACCTAAGGAAACCTTTTCTGATTATATTTGTGTGAACCTAAAATGTCTCTGCTCCTAATCTTAGAAAATGTAAGAAAATTAGTTCAATAAAATAGTCTGCTCAAATGAAACATTAAAATGAGCCCGCTTTTTAACACTGAGCCAACCGGTACGCTTTTGTTAGAATATCTAGGCTAGCCTATAGGTAAGGACAACAGTCAAACAGTGTCCTACTGCAAACTCGATGTGCATTGACCTGTACATATGTTCAACTATAGTCTGTTATTGAGAGGGAGAACTGGGCATGAATGGAGTTGTGAGTGTGGGTGTTTACTCCATCACCAACCTTCAACGGCCCTCTTGAAGAAGACCTTGCAGCTTCCGCAGGTGAGGACTCCATAATGGCAACCAGACGCCTCGTCCGAACACACCAGGCAGATCTTATGGGTTGGACCGCTGGGCTTGGCAGGGGCTGACGACGTGGAGCCGCTGGCCTCGGGTCTGGCCGTTGGACTGCAACAAACACAACGGTTAACAATCACATCCATTCAAATGAAAAGTATTTATAAAGCATCAGCAGTTGTTTTACTTTTACACAGGTGAATATCACTCAGATCCAGACAGCTATAGAGGGGTGGGTTGTTTAGCAACAAAACAGATGCGTGTGCAGAGGGTTGGCTGACATTCAAACGATTATTGACAACATGTAAAGTTAAATATTTGGAGACAAAATATTGTTTATTGAAATCAAATGCATTTGCACAATAAGCACCTGTTGTCTCTCAAATACAGTCCATTCAGAAAGTATTCACACACCGACTTTTTCCACATGTTGTTGCGTTACAGCCTTAAATATAACATGGTTTTCTGTCACTGGCCTACACACAATAACAGTGACATTTTTACCAATTAATAAAAAATAAAAAGCTGAAATGTTTTGAGGCAATAAGTATTCAACCCCTTTGTTATGGCAAGCCTAAATAAGTTCAGGAGTAAAAATGTGCTTAACAAGTCACATAAGTTGCATGGACTCACTCTGTACACAATAATATTGTTTAACATGATTTTTGAAATGACTACCTCATCTCTGAACCACACACATACAATTATCTGTAAGGTACCGCAGTCAAAGCAGTTAATTTCAAACACAGATTCAACCACAAAGACCAGGAGCTTTTCCAATGCCTCACAAAGAAGGGCACTTATTGGTGACAAAATTGTAAAAAGCAGACATTGAATATCCCTTTGAGCATGGTGAAGTTAATAATTACACTTTGGATGGTGTATCAATACACCCAGTCACTACAAAAGATACAGGTGTCCTTCCTAACTCAGTTGCCGGAGAGGAAGGAAACCGCTCAGGGATTTCACCATGAGGCCAATTTAAAACAATTAGAGTTTAATGGCTGTGATAGGAGAAAACTGAGGATGGATCACCAACATTGTAGTTACTCCACAATACTAACCTAAATGACAGAGTGAAAAGAAGGAAGCCTGTACATAATACAAATATTCCAAAACATGTATCCAGTTTGCAATAAGGCACTAAAGTAAAACTACATCAAATGTGTCAAAGAAATGTACTTGATGTCCTGAATACAAAGTGTTACGTTTGGGGCAAACCCAACAACACATCACTGAGTACCAATCTTTATATTTTCAAGCACGGTGGTGGCTGCATCATGTTATGGGTATGCTTGTCATCGGCAAAGACTAGCGATTTTTTGAGGGGGATAAAAAAAAACGGAACAGAGCTAAGCACAGGCAAATTCCTACAGAAAAACTTGGTTCAGTCAGCTTTCCAACAGCCACTGGGAGACACATTCACCTTTCAGCAGGTCAATAACCTAAAACTCAAGGCCAAATATACACTGGAGTTGCTTAACAAGACGACATTTAATGTTTCCTGAGTGGCCCAGTTACAGTTTTGACTTAAATTGGCTTGAAAATCTATGGCAACACTTGAAAATGGCTGTCTAGCAATAATTAACAACCAACTTGACAGAGCTTGAAGAATTTTATAAAGAATAATGTGCAAATATTGTAAAATCCAGGTGTGTAAAGCTCTTAGAGACTTACCCAGAAAGATTCACAGCTGTAATCGCTGCCAAAGGTGATTCTACTATGTATTGACTCAGGGGGTTGAATACTTATGTAATCAAGAGATATTCGTGTTTTATTTTTCATGATTGTTTTTACAAATGTTCTACTTTGACATTAAAGTATTTTGTGTAGATCATTGACCAAAAAAATGACAATTAAATCAATTTTAATCCCAGTTTGTAACAACAAAATGTGGAAAAAGTCAAGGGGTGTGAATACTTTCTGAAGGCACTGTACATGGTTACAGTCGTTGGTTAGCAAGCTAGCTAATTTTAGCTATATTAGCATAGACGTGAAATAACTCAAAACACCTCAAAAACAAGACATGGTTTCAAGAACAAGATATAACTAGCTGAAACTAGCCACCTACAATTTCCCACATGGCAGATTCTCGTCATTGTTACTAGCCATCTGACTGTTCAGAATAAAAAAAGAAGGCCTTTTACCCCTGCAATGCACGTGCATCATTTTTGTGACGTTGTCAGGCAACCCATGCATAGGCAATTTATGAGGGATTATTGAAGGTGTTTTGACAATAGCAATCAAAACAGCCTAATATTATCTGTGTTTTGTCTGGCTTTCATCCAGAGCGAGTCATCTGAGTTATTGCAAAGCAAACAATTCTTAATGCAAGGTTGTTTATCATAACACAGGTAGGTGCCTAGATAATGTATGGCATCTATGGTTAGGAGAGTAACGACTGAGGTTTGAATCTCACACTCATGCATCAACTAAATTATACTGTAATATAGTGCCATGTCTGAGCCAGAAAAATTATCCGCCTTGTTGCAATTCCACGATTGTAATCATCGGACTCCCTTTCACATGAAATTAACGACAGTATGAAACTACAGAAACTTAACACTGCTTTGTCAAAGCAATGCTGACAGACGTACACTAGGAGTAAACTTTTAACGCATCGTCAGGCAAAAAGCATTTACACATTTCTAATACAATCCATAGGAAGATTTTCACAGCATTAGAAGGTAAAGCCTTCCACCCTAGTTTGCTTTGCCAACACAATAGACGGGGCTTATAGCCATATGTAACTTATGTAAGAGACAGCGAGAGAAGTGGGCCTAACGTCTTTCAAGGTTTATGGATGGTTGTCGTATAGACTAGGGCATGGCATTTACATTCAATTCGAGTCACGCGGCTGAGGGAGGCCTAAAGAGTATGACCTAAATTCAAAGGCCAGTCTAATGGTCATTGGAAAGACGACACTTGTTTATATAAGTGGTGGGGGCAAGTTGGACTTTGGCAGGCAGCCAAGCCATTCACAGCTAGGCTGGATTTAGGCTGACAACATTGCTGCTTGACAGCTCATTCCATGCAAATATTCCCTGTTTACACTACTATCCCCCAGACACCAATTGCCTGCGACTAGCAAACTAATAATGCCTAAAGTATACCGTAAAACTTCAATTAATAGCCCAGGCGTTTACTTGCTTAAATCATTTAACAAAACAGGTGCTTATTAAAGACAGGCTTCCATTTGCATAGTCAATTGCTTAATTCCAGCATTTTAATCAATTTCTTCATTTCCTGCACTAATGTGTTATCATTTACACAGTGTCACGCTTATTCTGTCTTAGTACGGCTCTATATAAAAAATAAATATATATATATACACACATAAATATACATACACATATATAAATATACATACATATATACATACATTTACAGTGAGGGAAAAAAGTATTTGATCCCCTGCTGATTTTGTACGTTTGCCCACTGACAAAGAAATGATCAGTCTAATTTTAATGGTAGGTTTATTTGAACAGTGAGAGACGGAATAACAACAAAAAAATCCAGAAAAACATGTCAAAAATGTTATAAATTGATTTGCATTTTAATGAGGGAAATAAGTATTTGACCGTTTCTTGTAGTTTGCCACCAGGTTTGCACACATCTCAGGAGGGATTTTGTCCCAACTCGAACCTTCAGCTCCCTCCACAGAATTTCTATGGGATTAAGATCTGGAGACTGGCTAGGCCACTCCAGGACCTTAATGTGCTTCTTCTTGAGCCACTCCTTTGTTGCCTTAGCCGTGTGTTTTGGGTCATTGTCATGCTGGAATACCCATCCACGACCCATTTTCAATGCCCTGGCTGAGGGAAGGAGGTTCTCACCCAAGATTGGACGGTACATGGCCCCGTCCATCGTCCCTTTGATGCGGTGAAGTTGTCCTATCCCCTTAGCAGAAAAACACTCCCAAAGCATAATATTTCCAACTCCATGTTTGACAGTGGGGATGGTGTTCTTGGGGTCATAGGCAGCATTCCTCCTCCTCCAAACACGGTGAGTTGAGTTGATGCCAAAGAGCTCCATTTTGGTCTCATCTGACCACCACACTTTCACCCAGTTCTCCTCTGAATCATTCAGATGTTCATTGGCAAACTTCAGACGGCCCTGTATATGTGCTTTCTTGAGCAGGGGGACCTTGCGGGCGCTGCAGGATTTCAGTCCTTCACGGCGTAGTGTGTTGCCAATTGTTTTCTTGGTGACTATGGTCCCAGCTGCCTTGAGAACATTGACAAGATCCTCCCGTGTAGTTCTGGGCTGATTCCTCACCATTCTCATCATCATTGCAACTCCACTAGGTGAGATCTTGCATGGAGCCCCAGGCCGAGGGAGATTGACAGTTATTTTGTTTCTCTTCCATTTGCGAATAATCGCACCAACTGTTGTCACCTTCTCACCAAGCTGCTTGGAGATGGTCTTGTAGCCCATTCCAGCCTTGTGTAGGTCTACAATCTTGTCCCTGACAACCTTGGAGAGCTCTTTGGTCTTGGCCATGGTGGAGAGTTTGGAATCTGATTGATTGATTGCTTCTGTGGACAGGTGTCTTTTATACAGGTAACAAGCTGAGATTAGGAGCACTCCCTTTAAGAGTGTGCTCCTAATCTCAGCTCGTTACCTGTATAAAAGACACCTGGGAGCCAGAAATCTTTCTGATTGAGAGGGGGTCAAATACTTATTTCCCTCATTAAAATGCAAATCAATTTATAACATTTTTGACATGCGTTTTTCTGGATTTTATTGTTGTTATTCTGTCTCTCACTGTTCAAATAAACCTACCATTAAAATTATAGACTGATCATTTCTTTGTCAGTGGGCAAACGTACAAAACCAGCAGGGGATCAAATACTTTTTTCCCTAACTGTACATACAGTGGGGAGAACAAGTATTTGATACACTGCCGATTTTGCAGGTTTTCCTACTTACAAAGCATGTAGAGGTCTGTAATTTTTATCATAGGTACACTTCAACTGTGAGAGACGGAATCTAAAACAAAAATCCAGAAAATCACATTGTATGATTTTTAAGTAATTAATTTGCATTTTATTGCATGACATAAGTATTTGATACATCAGAAAAGCAGAACTTAATATTTGGTACAGAAACCTTTGTTTGCAATTACAGAGATCATACGTTTCCTGTAGGTCTTGACCATGTTTGCACACACTGCAGCAGGGATTTTGGCCCACTCCTCCATACAGACCTTCTCCAGATCCTTCAGGTTTCAGGGCTGTCGCTGGGCAATACGGACTTTCAGCTCTCTCCAAAGATTTTCTATTGGGTTTAGGTCTGGAGACTGGCTAGGCCACTCTAGGACCTTGAGATGCTTCTTACGGAGCCACTCCTTAGTTGCCCTGGCTGTGTGTTTCGGGTTGTTGTCATGCTGGAAGACCCAGCCAACGACCCATCTTCAATGCTCTTACTGAGGGAAGGAGGTTGTTTGGCCAAGATCTCGCGATAACATGGCCCCATCCATCCTCCCCTCAATACGGTGCAGTCGTCCTGTCCCTTTGCAGAAAAGCATCCCCAAAGAATGATGTTTCCACCTCCATGCTTCAACGGTTGGGATGGTGTCTTGGAGTTGTACTCATCCTTCTTCTTCCTCCAAACACAGCGAGTGGAGTTTAGACCAAACAGCTAGCTCTATTTTTGTCACATCAGACCACATGACCTTCTCCCCTTCCTCCTCTGGATTTCCGATGCGCAGTGGTTAAGGATGCATAGCAGTGCTCCCTCTGTTCGAGCTTGTCATAGTGTCGCGACCGGGAGACCATGCACAATGGCCACGTCTCCAAGTAGGGGAGGAATCCGCGGGATGTAGCTCAGTTGGTAGAGCATGGCGTTTGCAACGCCAGGGTTGTGGGTTCGATTCCCACAGGGGGTATGAAAAAAAAAAATGAAAAAAAATAACTAACTGTAAGTCGCTCTGGATAAGAGCGTCTGCTAAGTGACTAAAATGTAAAATGTAATGTAAAATGATCATCCAGATGGTCATTGGCAAACTTCAGACGGGCCTGGACATGCGCTGGCTTGAGCAGGGTGACCTTGCGTGCACTGCAGGATTTTAATCCATGGCGGCGTAGTGTGTTACTAATGGTTTTCTTTGAGACTGTGTTCCCAGCTCTCTTCAGGTCATTGACCAGGTCCTGCCATGTAGTTCTGGGCTGATCCCTCACCTTCCTCATGATCATTGATGCCCCACGAGGTGAGATCTTGCATGGAGCCCCAGACCGAGGGTGATTGACCGTCATCTTGAACTTCTTCCATTTTCTAATAATTGCGCCAACAGTTGTTGCCTTCTCACCAAGCTGTTTGCCTATTGTCCTGTAGCCCAACCCAGCCTTGTGCAGGTCTATATTTTATCCCTGATGTCCTTACACAGCTCTCTGGTCTTGGCCATTGTGGAGAGGTTGGAGTCTGTTTGATTGAGTGTGTGAACAGGTGTCTTTTATACGGGTAACTAGTTCAAACAGGTGCAGTTAATACAGGTAATGAGTGGAGAACAGGAGGGATTCTTAAAGAAAAACGAACAGGTCTGTGAGAGCCGGAATTCTTACTGGTTGGTAGGTGATCAAATACTTATGTCATGCAATAAAATGCAAATTAATTACTTACAAATCATACAATGTGATTTTCTGGATTTTTGTTTTAGATTCCGTCTCTCACAGTTGAAGTGTACCTATGATAAAAATGACAGACCTCTACATGCTTTGTAAGTAGGAAAACCTGCAAAATCGGCAGTGTATCAAATAATTGTTCTCCCCACTGTGTGTGTGTGTGTATATATACACAGTGGGGAGAACAAGTATTTGATACACTGCCGATTTTGCAGGTTTTCCTAGGAAAGTTTTGAGTGAGGAAAAGAAGGGTTCAATTCTGGCTTTACTGGCAGAGGGATACAGTGAGCGTCAGGTTGCTTCCATCCTTAAAATTTCAAAGACGGCGGTTCATAAGAACAAGGTCAAGCAGCAGACTATGGGGACAACAAAGCTACAGACCGGCAGAGGGCGAAAAACGACTCTCTACTGACCGGGATGACCGCCAACTCATTCGAATGTCACACAACAACCGTAGGATGACATCAAGTGACCTACAAAAAGAATGGCAAAGGGCAGCTTGGGTGAAGTGCACGGCGAGGACGGTTCGATACAGGCTCCTAGGGGCAGGGCTGAAGTCGTGCAAAGCTAGAAAAAAGCCCTTCATCAATGAGAACCAAAGAAGAGCCAGACTGAGGTTTGCAAAAGACTGTAAGGATTGGCCCTAGAGGAGTGGAGTAAGGTCATCTTCTCTGATGAGTCCAATTTTCAGCTTTGCCCAACACCTGGTCGTCTAATGGTTAGACGGAGACCTGGAGAGGCCTATAAGCCACAGTGTCTCGCACCCACAGTGAAATTTGGTGGAGGATCGGTGATGATCTGGGGGTGCTTCAGCAAGGCTTTAAATCGGGCAGATTTGTCTTTGTGAAGGACGCATGAATCAAGCCACGTACAAGGTTGTCCTGGAAGAAAATGTGCTTCCTTTTGCTCTGACATTGTTCCCCAACTCTGAGGATTGGTTTTTCCAGCAGGACAATGTGCCATGCCACACAGCCAGGTCAATCAAGGTGTGGATGGAGGACCACCAGATCAAGACCCTGTCATGGCCAGCCCAATCTCCAGACCTGAACCCCATTGAAAACTTCTGGAATGTGATCAAGAGGAAGATGGATGGTCACAAGCCATCGTCCCGAAGCCACTCCTGTGTTGTCTTGGCTGTGTGCTTAGGGTCGTTGTCTTGATGGAAGGTGAACCTTCGCCCCAGTCTGAGAGTCCTTTAGGTGCCTTTTGGCAAATTCAAAGCGGGTTGTCCTGTGCCTTTTACTGAGGGGCTTTCGTCTGGCCACTCTACCTGATAGGTGGAGTGCTG